TTAAATGGCAGGATGTGGGGTCATACATACAGCTGTATGCAAAAGTTTGAACATCCCTGGTCAAATTACATGTTAACTTGATTTTCTAAGTGAAAATAAGTTAAGCACATCCTCTACAGAGAACATATTTAAATATGGCATTTTTCTGTTTTAGAGCACCATTTCTATTTGTCGGAACAAAACCTGTTTTTCAGTTTTTGACATTATTTGAAAATGCTTGTTGCCCTTTATTTTGTGTTTACATTTCATGATGAATGGACCAAAAGAAATGACCCAAGGTTACTTGGAAAAAAGTCTGATGAGTTTTTTCCTTCTCCTGTAAAGTTAACATTTTGCAGATGCGAGGTTTCTGACAGCAACGATATATATATATATATATATATATATATATATATATATATATATATATATATATATATATGTGTGTGTGTGTGTGTATATACAGTACTATATACTATATATACTACATATATACTATATATACTATATACAGTACTGAAAGTCAGAGACCACCATTTTATTTAGTTAAATTCCAGTCAAAGTGCCATTATGTAAAAAGTATTCAAAAGTTGGTAATTAGTGTGTCCAGCCTTTGTCTTTATTACTGTTTCTATTCTTTTCAGGAGAGTCAGTTTCAGTTTTTCAAAGAAATCTGCAGGGATGTTTTTCTACATCTCCAAAGTTCAGTCTTAGAGGTTGGTTGCATTTTTCTGCTTCTCACAATCCAAGTAATTACAAATTTAGACTCATCATTTCACAGTACTAGCTAAAATAAACATTACTGAAAGTGTGGAAGATCTGTATTGGGTGATGCAGTGCAGTGTTTGCCCACTATATATATATATATATATATATATATATATATATGTGTGTACTCCCACACACACACATATTCTACATAAGCCTGAAAACCGGATTAGTTCTCCTTAAAAAGGGATTTAGTATATCTACTAGCAATTATCAGAACAAAGAAATTCCAAGAATTCCTGACCAAGTTAGTTCATTGTTAATTGTTGTGGTTTTGCTTGGTGTCATTTTCTCAGGTTGAGATGCAGTGAGTCACTGTGGAATATGCTAATAATTTTCATATAATGAATACCTGCACACATACACCTAAAGTACTGCTGTATATATCACAGTCTGAACAAAACCTTGCGTCTCCCTTTTTGCCTAATTTAAAAACAATTTCAAAATATTTCTTGCCTTTTACATATGTTGGCATAATGGAAGGACCAGTAGAAATGGCCCAAAAACACTGGGATTTTCCTTCCCCTGAAAAGTTACCTTTTTGGAGATAATAGATTTTGTTCAGACAGTGACGATATATACGTTAGTACCAAAGCCATAATAGACATCAGCACATAAATACATTACAAGTTATTATGTTAACTTAAGCAAAGGCTAAACTGAGCAATTGATTGAAACGTATTCTAGCATCAACAGGTTTCAGTAAACACATTAAAAAAAAAGAAGCACACTAAAATGTCCTGATAACCTCTATTGATGTCCATCTACTAATAACTTACCAAATCCTTCAAAGTCTAAATTTTTGTTGACAACGACATCAAGCAGCGAAACTCCAGTTAAAGTGTTCACTGAGATTCTCTTTCCATCACGATTTACGAAGTGAATGGTTGCCCTCTCCTCTGCCCTGCAACAAGAGAAAGGAAAGAGAGATTAAAGGAGTGCTTTGAGCAAATTTGTTCAGGCTGTTAGCCATGCTTTCTTTGTAGGGTTTTACCAGCATAATGTTTGGATTTTGTCTTTGCAATGCAGAAAAACCATATATCCACATATTCAGCCTATAAGCAGTTTAGCCCCGCCCATTCAGAGTGAAGTTATAAAGAGTGTTTCACCCAGGACTACTCTGTGAATGAGGCACAGTACAGGGCAGCCAGTAAGAACAGGAGTCATTTATATATCAGTATTAAAGGTACAGTAACAAAAACAATCTGTCTAACTCGAAGTTTCAAAATGGTTATGTAAAAATGAAGTATGACTGTTTTTGGTATACAACCTCACACAAACATTGTAAGTGAACTTCAAGGTAAAAAAAATATATTAAATACAAAAAAGGTCTCTATGTTTACTTGTTAATTCATTAAATCAAAGATGGAGCTAAATCAAGGGTAAAGTCCTTGGCTAACTAAGGCCTCTTTTCCACTGCAGGGCTGAACAGTTCTAAACACAGAGGATAACCATTCCAGTGGCATTTCAACATGAGCATGGGTTAACGTGGAATGGTTAAAAGCTGGGCTCAGCACGTTAGCTAACCGTGTTCAGGGTTGATGTAACATCATAGCTATTCACTGATTTGTTCCATGTTTATGTTGGTATCGTGTCTGCTGCATTATTTCAAACTCAAAAACAACCAAATAGATTCAGTTTGCTCGCTAGGTCGCCAATAAATGAAAGCAGTGCACAATTTTAAATCCACCGTTCAATAAACGTCAAAACTTCAATCTAACACCAGTTTCTAAATGTTAAACAGTGCTGCTAACCAGGAGAGAGTAGCATAAGTAGCATGATAACAGCTCTTCTGGCCAGAGAACAGGTTTGACTCTGACTAAAGAAAGTTTTAATGCAGATTTAGATGATAATGACTTAAGTCTGAGGAAGAGAAGTTGAGAGGCCGGTGTTAGAGGGACAGAAAACAGATATTACATATATGTTTGGATCTGTAGCCTCTTAACTAAGCTAATGCTGGCTGGCTCCTCTCTCCTAGCCATCGTAGCTAGTGAGAACCAAAATGCACCCCAGTACAGGTTTGATTTGAATAACTGGTGCTCTGCTATCACAAGTTACTTATTTCAAAACTTATTTCAGTGAGAGCAAAGTTGACTGATTGGTGTTGGAGTGACAGAAAGTGTAAACTGAACCTGTTATGTAGCGTTTTAAGCTAGTTTGCTAGGCTAAGCTAACGCGAGTGTAAAGTGCCTCTTACCACAGTACAGTCTCAGTTCCAGTGAAAAGAAGCTTAAAAATACCTGTTTAAAGGATAAAGACTCATATCTGAGATCACAAATTCAAATGTTTGGTGTTGAAGTGACAGTAAAAATAAAAAGTAGTAGTAGTTCTGTGGTGTGAGCTGTACCCTGCTGGACTACACTAATGCTAGCATAGCCACTAATGCTAACACCCATTTTAAAGAATCTGAGAGCATGCTAAGAGACTGGTGTTGGAGTGACAACCGGAATCAAACATGTGTTGTGGTGTATGGTGTGTGTAGGTAATAGGCTGTTAGTAGTTAGCCATTCTTTTGTGTAGTTTTCTTCAGTATGTCCTGGTTCTGATTTAGCAGCACAGCTGATGTGCTCTTGCGGTCTCACAAGTCCGACCCAGCACAGAACGGCTTAGTACGGTCCTGAGAACCATTTAGCTTTACAGTGGAAAAGAGGCCTAACACTCCTACACAGAGAAAACAACAGAATAAAACTGGGCCTTTATGGTCTTTTGTCAAGAACCAAATCCCACACAAATCCTGATTTCAGAAGCTGGCTCTGAACAGATGACCTCCAGGAAGAATTTCAAATTCGAAGCGCACGCATGCATGGCATTTGAAAACTGAAGTTGCGGTTAAAAATTCAGTCTCATTGTTTGATAAGGTATTAAACATTAAACAGCTTGGCAAGTGAGGCAGGTCTTTCCCGGCAAAATGGGCTTTTGTGTTTTTTTGTTAGTTTTTTTCAAAGGATTTCATGTCTAACCTTTGCAGATGTTTAATTTGTTTTAATTGTGAGGGCATTAGGACCAGCAAAATTTTTAAAAAGTTTCATTTAAAAAAAAACAAAACATTTTTTAGGTTCAGGTTAGCATTCAGTTTTGGCTTAGGACCCCTTTCAATATTTTTTTTAACACACCAACTTCGATTCACATTTCACGTTTACTCATACTTTTAGTTGGATCATTCATTGATTTTTGGTGGGAGGCTAATATTGGCTGCTCTCTCACCAAATGGATGCTTGAGATGTGCATCACACCAGAGATGTTATAAAGGAGGAGACTGGACTGGTTGGGAAATGAATGGGAAAGCTTGTAACATTCAACATGGCATCTGTTTGCGGAGAAAGTCCCACCCTTCAAGAAACAGAGACAATCAGCTTGCTGTTTATGCTGCGAGTGGGAAAAGCCCCCCTCATTATGTAGATCTGTGTAAGCATAGTAGTCAGAAAAAAACCCCAAAAAAAAACAAGCTTTTTGTGAGTTATTGAGCCAACCCCTACAAACTCTTTATGAGTTTTTAATCAGATTTTAGCAGTGACGATCCAAATAACCCCAAACACATTCAGCAATGTTAAGGCCTGGATTCTGGGGTGGTCAGACCGTTGTTCTGAGAACACCAGCAGTATTTCTCAGAACATTTAATCTTCTCAGAAATATCTTCTGAAAAATTAACAGTTTTTACTTAATGGCCAGTTTGATTTGAAATTAAATAAATGAAGGGTGGTCTTTGAGTTTGAGCACTGTATACGTAATACATATGAGATATATTATTATTACATATAGGTATTTACCGACATTTAACTCCCACGTCTTGACATTGTGTAAACACAAACATCTATGTGTGTTTGTGTGAACCAAAAAAAAAAACAAAACAAAAAAAACAACTAATTTATTGAACCACCTGCTGTGTTGCTTGTTGAGCTGTTGGGGTGGGGTGGGGGTGCAGTACTGGGAAAGTAGGCCATAAGCTGCATTAAGAACCTTAGCCTAATCCAACTTTCACATTTTGAAAAAAGTCTTTCTTTCAGTATGAGGAGAAAACGGACCCTTTGTCTATATGAAGATATGTAGAAAAATTTAATAATAGCCTTTTATAACCTTGGTTAAGTTAAAAGATAATCATCTCTCTTTCAGAGGTCAGTAGAAAGTATATTGCAAAAACATTTGCAGCTTTTAAACTTAAAAAGTTACCAAGTTAACTTGAAATTTTGAGATAATTACACTTGTAATATTAACATAATAACAGAATAATTAGCTTTACATTTGTTAATTATTTGAAGTTCAATGGACTCAACATTTCAAGGTAACCCAGTTACTTTTTTGAGTTTAAAAGCAAAACATTTTGCTGTATTTAAAACATTTTGCTCCATTTGTGCATCTTTCTGAGTATTCTCATATGATAATAATAGTTTTAGGGTTTATTTCACTCTGTTGTGTTGGTTCAGCTTTTTAATTGCTTTACTGTTGCTCACACCTCTCACTTTGCTCCAATAAGAGAAGAATGGAGCTTAACAATGTTCAGTTCCTTTGCCGATAGGTGAACTTTCCTGCAGGTCTGTTGCTGTCATATGGGGGTTTTGCTTTGCCTTTCTGGCCAGCATATGAGTGGTTCTACCCGAGGGTTTTCTTGATCTTCCAGATCTTGCCTCAACTTCCACAGTTCCTCTTAACTGCCATTTCTGACTGACGTTTTGGACAGTGTAAATTGAAAAATGGAAGCACTTTGATATCTTTTCATAGCCTTCCCCTACTTTCTAGGCATCAATAGCTTAATTTTCAGATCCTCAGTCAGCTGCTTAGATGAGCCCATGAGCCCATGGCTGTTGTGTGTTAGCATTTCTACTGCAGGAATTCTTGGACCTGATCAGTTTTACACAGGTTTTTATTTAGCTTTCTATTCAGCTGATGTCAATTCCAGAGTGTAGTGAATTCTCTGACTTTTCAAACCTGCTGACACTCAACAACCATGGGCTAAGCAGGAGGCTGAGGATCTGATAATGAAGCTAGTTGATGCCATGAAATGGCAGTTAAGGGGAAATGTAAAAGTTGAGGCAAGATCTGGAAGACCAAGAAAACTCCTGGATAGAGCTGCTCAAATGCTGTCCAGAAAAGCAAAGCAAAACCCCCATATGACAGCAAAGGACCTGCAAGAAGGTTTAGCTGACACAGGAGTTGTGCACAGTTGTACTGTGCAGATTTGCTTGCAAAAACATGATCTGCATCTCACAAACGTCAACATCTTAAGTGTGCAAAACAACATCTAGATATACCAGAGGCATTAAGAAAACAAGAGCTGTGGAATGATTAAGTATAAAATGAACTCTTTGGCCACATTCACCAAAGTATATTTGGAGAAAAGGAGCAGCATTTGATGAAAAGAACACCTTGCCAACGGTCAAGCAGGAGAGGATCTATTATGCTTTAGGGTTGTGTGGCAGCCAGGGGCACAGGAGACATAGCACAGGTAAATGGAAGAGTGGATTCTGCTGCATATGAGCAAGTATTGGAAGCAAATGTTACAGGGAAGAAATTCAAGCTGAAAAGAGTTTGGCTTCTACAACAGGACAATGACCTAAAATATATCTCAAAATCCACCAAGACCTACTTCAAGAAACTGCAACAGCGGAGGTATTAGTAAAGTAACAGCCATTTAACAGTGATGTTCACAATATCAACTGCATTAACATTAACACACTTTTACATTAACCTGCAGTTAAATACATACATTTTCGGCAACTCTGTTGCCAGTATACAACCGCAAAGATTACAGTAAAGCTGTTTACAGTGAAGCTATTTGCAGGTATATAGAAGTTAAACTGTAGGTCTGTTGTTTTTCTTTGTTTTGCAAGTTTTTACTTTACAACACCAGTAGTAAAGTAATTTGCATAGAAGTCACATTGTAAACATTAAAGCCATTTACTGGCTTTACTGAGTTCTACTGTATCCTTTGGCAACTCTGTAACCAGCGAAAAGTTACAAAGTTTACTGTAAAGTTTTACAGTGCAGCCATTTTCTAATTTACAGAGGTTAAACTGCAGGTGTTGCTGCAGTAAGGCCTTATAGCTCAACATCATTTACAGCAGTGTATTGTTTCTGCACTCTACAGTTACTACAATACTATTTGGAAACTCTGCTGCCAGTGAATATAACTGTAAAGTTTACAGTAAAGTTTTTTATCACAGGTTTAAATGCAATAAGACCTAAAGATGCGTATGTGTGTTCGTACCTGAGTGCTGGGCCTGAGCTCACTCCTCTAGCATTGCTGAAAATGCAGCCAGGCTGTCGGAAGCGTCCACATGTTGTTGCGCGGGCAGCAGTCAGGCCCAGCAGGAGCAGCCTGGAGGAGAGAGGGGACGCAGACATGGCAGATACACTCCACTGCAGAGGGAAGTTAGAGAGAGGCAGAGTAAAGAAATGACTGGGCCTCTGCATGAAGGGGTTTTATTATGCACCTCCTTCTCCTCCTCATCACATGCACCTCTCTCTCATAATCTCTCTCTCTCTCTCTCTCTCCCTCTCTCTCCCAGCTGCCCCCCTGACTTTAGCCTTGCTCTCTCCCTCTCTCTCTCTTTCTCTCTTTCTCAAGTTCACTTTACTGACATGATAAAAGTACATTTGTATTGTCAAAGCATTGCATTCATACTTTCTCTCGCTCTTATTCATTCTTCATAGGACCCTCTCTCTTTTTCTCTCTCACCCTTTCTCTATCTCAATTATACTCTCTTAGCCTCTCTCTCCCTCTCTCTGTTTCACGCATACTTTCTCTCACCCTTTCTCTCTCTCTCTTTCATACTCCTAGCCTCTCTATCTCTCTCTCTTTCACTGATACTTTCTCTCGCTGTCGTTCATTCTTTCTAAGCCCCCTCTCTCTCTTTCTCTCACCCTTTCTCTCTCACTCATACTCTCTTAGCCCCTTTCTCTCTCTCTCTCACCCTGTCTCTTTCTCTCTCACTCATACGGTCTTAGCACCTCTCTCTCTCTCTCTCTCTCTCTCTCTCTCTCTCTCTCTCTCTCTTGTAATTTCTCATTCTGATGTGTACAGAAGAGTTTGTTGCTGGCACTCGGTCGGCCTGAGTTTTCAAAAAAAAAAACCCAGTCAGCTCTCTGCAGCCCCTCAGTACTGTTACAATAGACTTTCTGGTGGTTCTGCATCAACACAGAAAGATCTGAAAAATGATCAAACATAAACAAGTCAAGAAAAAAACTGTAATGCATACATCAAGTAAACGCAGCCAATGAAACACGTCTGAGAAACGTCTGCCAGAAGTCCACAGTAAAACGGTTTTAAGTGTATTTGTGCCGTTTCTAAGCGCTAACATGTTTCTGCTGGGCCTACACCTTATTCAGTCTACATGCACAGTCATATGAGGGAAGTAGGCCAGCTGCAGATTACAGGGCTGAAGTAGAAGGTTATGGCCTCCTGCCAGGCAGTGAAACCTCAGGGTTTTTTGGTTTGATCCTGGGGTTGGCACCAAAAATCTTGACCCATTTCCAGAAGGATTAATTCAGGTCATCTTTATAGTCATTATATCAGAACCGTGTAACAAAAGCTTCTTCTTCTCAATATATACGGTACACAGAATAATACGGAAAGTGTAGTTGTATGTTATGCATACCAGCCGAATCACTCCGATAGTAATGTATTGATTTTTCACTCAATTCTATTTTTAGCAAACTAACACATTTTCAGTGCTGGGACAATAACAATTTTGAAAAATCAATAAATCAGAGACATAATAAAATAAAATGAAATTTATGTCAATAATTTCATTATTTTTGGGGGGAAAAGTTAATACTATAAAAAAGTGGCATCTCAACTTAACTTTAAACTTTAACTTTTTAAATGTCTGTATGCATCTATTATATCTATCTATTTATACTCTGAGAGAGAAAGGGTGACCTCTGTCTACCACATATAAAATTATAATACCTCTTTTGAAACATCCAAATTAGAACAGATGAAGAGTTAGACTGGCTCGCAATGGGGCAGCAGTTACATTCTGACGCATTTAGGCACCAGAATGTAACTGCTGCAGTGTTTAAGGTGGGATGGAAAATTAGAAAAAGGCAGTTCTAGACTGAACTCATTTAAAGCTTCTAAAAGACATTCTTTGTTTTATTTGAAGCTTTTGACAGACATATTAGCATATAGTTTACCTTGTAGCAGTTTCATAGTGACTCTTCCAGTAGTGAGCTCAGGTATAGAGCTGCTGCCGCTGTTTTCCATTTCTGATTAAGCTACTTATTCATTCAGTGATGTATCTAGAACTTCTGGAAGACTTAAAGTGATGTTTTTTCTCACAAAATTGGTCCCACCCATTGGAAACCAAAACATGATTGGCTGATTCCTCTGTTATGCTGATAGAAAATCTAAGGTGTTAGGACTTCTCTTCAGCTCCTGAAGTCCTAACCAATAGGAGAGCTTGCTTAGCTATACCTACCTAGACACCACAGAGAAAAGGAATTCCTGAATGGTCAATTTTCTGCCTTGTGTTTCAAGAATTTAACCCTTTTGCTTCCATCCTAAACTCAACAATGAAACAAGAGTAGTGCTGTAATACTTGTAGAGTGTAAATACAATCATGATTCTGTTGAATAAAAATGAACTAAAAATTACAGACATGTATTTTTTAGTTACCAGAAATCATTATGCCTTCTCTGAAGGCCTAGAAGGTCCTGAGAGCTCCCATCTAGATATGTTAGTTACATATTCAGTACAGTTTCCATTTTAACCCAGAAGGAGGTGATAGCCTTAAGGCCTCTTCACACCAAGTCAGAGTTTTACAACCAAAAAAGGCATGGGAAGTTTTGAAAATGTACATAGTGGCAGGTCAAATCTGATAAAATGAGCACACACAAATTTCACAAACAGCTTTGTTATTCATTAATTTCATCTTTGGCTTTCTGTACAGCCAAACTCACATCTGGTAGAAGTGCAAGTAAATTTGAGTGTCATGTTTTAACAGTGTGAAAAATGTCTGAATTGTGGTTAATTAATCAAAATTATTGTTGATAACATCAATTATACCAGCATAACAGTAAAAATAAATAATGATAATACCAATAACTGCACACAGCTATCCTTGTGCTAAGGTGGGCAACCTCCATTTGTCCTCCTTTGTTTTGGTGTCGTATGACAGTTTCCTGAATGAGATGCAGAGTAGTTCATACATCATTCAGGACGATCAAATCTGTGCTTGTTTCTGCACAAATTAAATATAATATATATATATATATATATATATATATATATATATATATATATATATATATATATATATATATATATATATATATATGTAATGGCCACTATTTTTTCCTGAGCAGGTTACAGTGCACTTTATCCATCACAGTTGTGTTAAAATTAGATTTGATGCTTTAATGATGTCCAAACTACTCTGTGTCTGTTTTATTAGTGTACAAATTATTAGTATTATTATTTTTATTCTTATTATTGATGATAGATGATATTCATAGTAGTTTTGGGTAGTTAACTACAAACCAAGCTATGCAAAAGATAAAACTGAATAAAAACAAAACTGTTGGTGAAATTTGTATGCACTCATTTTATGGTCAGATTTGACTGCAAATTCGATGAATAAGGGTCAATGTGTGTGGAAAGGATGGAAACTAGGATTTAGGCCTATGCAGTTTTCATGGACACCATGAAGTGTCTGCTCCCATTTCAAGGGTAAAGAGAAGGAAAAGATATCTGTCCTTTGAAAACCAGGCCAAGGACACAGCCAAAAATGGCCTGATCATCAGACAAGAGGCTCCACACAACCGTGCTAACATGAGGACTGAACAGCATGCTTTTCTTGTTGTGATGGTATGAAGATGAAGCAGCAGCAAAAAGAAAATCACTAAATGTAGAAGCTCTAATAAACAGCTCTGTGTAAATTTAGACCTAAATTGGACCAAAAGATGCCCCCCCCCCAAAAAAAAACAAAACACAACATAATAAACAAACAAACAACCCCCCCAAAAATGATCCTCTAAGCAATTGGGATATTTGTCTCCAACAACTAAAGATAGGACTAAAAATCATAAAAGTTGTTAAAGCGATGACATTTTGTGTACTTACATGTTTGATGAACATATAACAGCAAATAATATATATAAATAGTAAGTCACTTAAAATAATGTATTATTTTATTGAAATACAAATAAATTGCATAATATTTTAGATAATATGTAATTTTAAAAAAATATGTAATTGTTCATGCTTTTATTTACAATCACGTGGATTGTTTACTATTTTGTTATAGAAAAAGTAAAAAAAAAAACACTTTTTAGCCATATAATTTGATCGATTTTAAAAAATAAACTTGTAGAAATGTAGAAAAAAAATAAAATAATGATTTTTAACTATTTTCAGCTAAAAATATTTTAATATGTATTCAGAATTTTTCCACCGGTCCTCGTTGCTGTGGCAACAGCGGGAGCAGCACGTCAGCACACGCTCTCGCTGCAGAACGCTGCCGTGGACGCTCCCTGTTGAACAGGAGGCGGTGGGCGGGGCTTCAGCCGGCGCGGACCAATCAGAGCGACCCACGACCCAGAGACGCTGGAGAGTGAAGAGCAGCGCGCGTGAGGCAGAGCGAGGGTTCCTCCTCGCGGCGGTAACCGTGAACGGCTGAGTTCGGAGCAGCGAAGGAGCTGAAGAGGAAAACTGAAGAAAATAAAAAAAACAGACTGAAATATGGTGACGTTCACTCCGCTGGCGCACAAATTACTGAGCTATGTCCCCTTTGTGCTGGTTCTGCTGGATCTCCGGTACGAAGGTAAGCGAGTCTCGGTGTTTGATCGGAACTGGAGTTTGTCTGTGGCGGTAGAGCAGGACGGGACTCCCTCTGACTGGAGTCACTGGGGTGGTTAGCCTAGCCTAGCCTATCTTAGCTTAAAGTACATAGAAAAAGATGGTTGGTTAGCTTAGCTTAACGTAGCCTTGGCTAACTTCAACAGACGTGTCTGTTCTCCAGCTGTCACTGAGACCAGGCAGAGCACACGAGCTTCTTATACTGAATTTCCACGTTCCACCTTAAATGGTGCAGCAGTTACATTCCGGCGCGTCGGGTGTCATAATAGCTGTAATATTTGCTGCACCATTTAAGGTGGAACGGGAAAATTCGAACAAGAAGCTGGCGAAAAGCGAGCCAACTTTAGCCGTTGAAGTTGGAAAATCAGCTTAAAGTCATATGTGTGCTTTTAAACGACATGCAGGATAATACACAGGTACTTCAGCATATTAGCTATGCTGTTTTTAAGCAGCGTATCTTAGTGGTAATAATATGCTAAATAATGCTAAAGTCAGTGTTTTAAAACGACATTCAGTGTTCTTAGTTTTAATGTCTTCAGCTCAAGACACTGTAGCAGAGTGTTAGTCATACAACTAGTAAAGAAAACGACCTGTCGCAGGCTGAATATCAGTAACAGCTGGAGTTGCCTTGTTTTTTGTTGTTTGGAAAATCTACGGACTTGGCTAGATAACGAGTATGACCACATTCATTGCATTTGACCAGTGTCAGTTTCAGTGTCAGGGCTTGCATGATTTCAGCGTCAGATTAGAGTGGTTCTTCTCTCCAGCATACTCTTCATTCTTCTACGAAAAGGAGATAGCCTATTCGTGTTCTTCACTAGCTGGTGTACAACCTTTCAGTCTGGGCCATCATAGTTTTATTTTTGCCTTTACAGGAGTGATCTGTGGAAAGGACAACAGCATTGAGCAGCATCTGGAGATGGGGAAGAAGCTGCTTGCTGCCGGACAGTTGGCCGATGCTCTGTCTCATTTCCATGCAGCTGTTGGTGAGTTGGTGACGTTTTGCAAAAAGAGACCGGAGCCTGGCTTTTAATCCACTACATAATAATAGTCTGGCCTAAGTTATTCTCATGTATTATGCTATGCAGTGCTAAAATTCAAGATCACATTTTTTTCCCCAAATATATCACAGTATCACAGTGTTTGATGATGTTCAAGTTTGCATTAATACATTTGATGAACCCATGCTTCCTTGAGTGCTGCTATGCCATACAAACCTAACACAGATGGTTTTGTTTTGACTATTTTGTTAACTTTTCTTGTCTTCCGGGAACATTGCTGAAAAAAAACGCACCATGTAGAGTGTTATCTTTTTTTTTCAGTGTTATCATAGATATAATGCTTGCTATCTGTCAGTCCCACTAAAACTATGCCAGTAATCCTATACCAGTAGAGAAAAACATCACCCGAATGAATTGGACGAGACTGTTGTGTAGTTAAGCCTTCTGCCCTCTTTCTTCTGTATACAGATGGAGACCCTAAGAACTACATGGCTTACTACAGGAGAGCCACTGTATACCTGGCCATGGGAAAGTCCAAATCTGCTCTGCCGGACCTCAGCAAAGTCATCGAGCTCAAACCTGATTTCACATCAGTAAGTTTTCTTCCATCCTGAGACTCATGAGTTGAACACATAACGGATGAAAGTTTACTACAACCAGTGCTCTGTCTCTGCTTGAAGGCCAGACTTCAGAGGGGGAACCTGCTACTGAAGCAAGGGAAGCTCGACGAAGCTGAGAGTGATTTCAAGAAAGTGGTGAGTTTATGGAAGATTTTATGTACATATGGAGAAGATATTACATAGCTGGGTGTTCTGTTATAGGCACTCCATATGTTAATGTGTCCTCCTTCTAGTCCCTTCTTAACTTTACCAGCCTATTGTTAGGTATAGTATTTTTAAGTAATTATTAAGAGTATGCAGGACATTTGAAGCCTTGGGCAGTTGTCATATGGTTCAGTGTTGCTTGCTGATGGCCCTTATTTAGACTTATTTACACAGCAAAAATGATGTTGATAATGAAACTAGTTATGCCTGTCTGCAGTTATTGTCCTTGTTGGGAAAATACGAAAATACAGCCTCTACGTGTTTTTTTTCTAGGCCATGAGTTGCCCTGTAAAGTCTATCAAGAAGCAAATAGGCTAGGTGTTGAAGGAATAGCAGAATAATGAATTTATTTGGTGGAGTGCTTATTCTTGCAGTATAAAGGCTTTCTTTACTATGGGAGTCTGTTTGAAAATAAGATGTCTTTGATTATGACGACAGCCAGCCTTAGGGTCTGACTGGCATATTTCCATGTTATTTCACCAATGCTTGGGTGGGTAGGTCTCTGTGTTGCAGAATCAGTTTTAGGCTGTTGTTCAATTATATAACGAAGTAAACAAAACCAAAATCTGAATAAACAGAATATATTAAAACCTGAATTGGTGACCATGTGTTTATTTCCTCCGAAAGGAGAAGTGATGACTTCCTTAAACTGAGAGGCAATGAATGTGATGCTTCCTGACTCTGTAACTACTGTGCTTTTTTAATATGTCTCTTATTTCACTGTGTTCCCCAGCTGAAATCCAGCCCCAGCAGCAGAGAGGAACAGGAAGCCCAAAGCCAGTTGAAGAAATCGGATGAAATCCAACGATTGGTGACCCAGGCACAGAGCGATTTCAGCCGCAAGGATTACAGCTCAGCAGTGACGCACCTGGATAAAATCATCGATGTAAGTTAGTTGCTGCACTGTCTGCTTGCTCTGTTTATGTCTGTAGCTTCTTAAACTCTTTGATTTTAGCATGGAAAGGACTTTCATATAAACATCAGGAATTGGATTTGCAAATACTTGCCTTCTACACGTCCTGACAGAAATTTTTAGAAAAGTTTAACTTCGATTTTAACTGTATGTCAGATAAAAAACAGATACTGGGAACAAAGATGCTGCTATTTCATGGAACAGAATATTATCATAGATATAATATTTATCTCTGAGTATTTTATCGCTGCAAATTGGTGTCACGGTATGTAAATATCTCCGTGTACCGGTAATGACCATATATTGGCCAGCACATATGGAAAAGATTTGGGGTACGACTAATATTGTGTGGACAGCTCTCTCAGCCCCAGATGAAAACTGTTTGTGTTTTATGCTACGATGGTCACATTTCCACCTGTTGGTCTCACATTGGTTATCTGCAGGTTTGTGTGCATTGGCTTATCAGGCCAACCTCTAGCTAGTAATCAGTAAAGTGTGGCCTTCTTTGCATACCAACAACGAGCCTTTCTGAGTTTGTAGATCTTTAAAAAGTCTTATGAACTACATAACTACATAACACTTTTTAAATGAGACTAAATTATTTATCCTAATAACCACCTATGCTATGACCTAAAAACAACAAAAAAAGAGTACACAGTGAAGTATAACGTCAGTATTTCCTACTGTACCTGCAATTCTTTTAGACGTGTCAGTGGGATGTGGACTCCAGGGAAATGCGTGCCGAGTGCTTCATTCAGCTGGGTGAGATGGGCAAAGCCATCAGTGACCTCAAAGCAACCTCCAAGCTGAGGAACGACAACACTCAAGCCTTCTACAAGCTGAGCACCATCTATTATAACCTGGGAGACCATGAGATGTCCCTTAAGTAAGCCTTTGTGGGATTCATAATCATTTGCAGTGGGACCACTTAATGTGCGTTGGGAAAAAAAAGAGTAATTAGTTAATTGTTGTGTGTAGGCATAATGTCCAGTACTGAGAATGAATGAATAAATACACTGTAGTCAAGCTTTTAGGCTGATCATGCTGCAAGCCTAAGTGCTCAGTTCTGTTTTTTTATTTTGTTTGTTTAGTTGTTCACATTATCTCTTTATTGTGGCCTGATCAGTCTGGACAGGTCAAGTGCCTTAAGAAACCCGCATGTGCAAAAGAACAACAATGCTCAACCAAGCAGTGCTCATCCAACAACGCCTTTTATGTCAAAATCAAGCTGCTACTTTAAAAATTTTTAAAGACACCAAAACAACTGCAACATTTAAGGTTTACAGTAAAAAGTGTTAGATTTATTTGTGGAATTTTGGCTCTGCTTGTCATCCAAAATGCACAGGTTATAACCATAGTAACAGGCTTTTTGATGATGTTGCGCTAAGGATTGTATTCCTGCTTGTGTGGACTTATGAGAAATGTTACGTTTGATAGATGTGAAAGTCTGATTTGACTGTTTAGACTGAGGTCACATTGCCACATATCAGATATGTATTGGAATTGAAAATCCAAGGAGCCAAAAGCCTAAGTTTGAACGTCTGAGATCATTGCAGTCATAACTTTTGTACAGCAGTGTGTTTTAGTGAGATATTGTTTTGATGTAATTGTAAGCATACTTTCCAATAAGGATGTGCTGCATGTTACAGCAGTCTCTTATTTGCATCTGTAAAGCACAATTGATCAGACAAGTGATGTAAACTGACAGTGGATGTTTGTTTCCATCTGCAGCGAGGTGCGAGAGTGTCTAAAATTGGACCCCGATCACAAGCAGTGCTTCAGCCACTACAAACAGGTGAAGAAGCTCAACAAACAGATCATGTCAGCTGAGGAACTCATCCAGCAGCAGAGGTGCGTCCTGCCAGCATCACAAACCAGCGACGCTCTAATACAAAAAACAAAGGATGTGCTGTTTAATACAATGAAGAGTGATAACATTGCTTGTTATATACATAAAACGATCTGTATTTATGGACGCAGGGACGTAGGAAGGTATTTAAAGCAGCGCATAGGGGCCATACACCGTAAAGTCATGCTATATATTTTTTCATTTGAATTGTTTGGATAACTTGAAACAGAACGTATCATAACTCAGATGCACATATATGACTGACACAGCATTCACTGGTCCACAGCCTGCTGTCTCTCCTCTCTCTTGCTGGGCAAACTTTATGCAAATGAGCTGAGTGCCCACCAATCAGATTGTTGATGTGGAAACCACTTCATACATGCGCACATCTAGCGGAAGATTATTACAGTGAATAAAATACAAACTCCACCCTACAAAAGCACACAGGTCGTTGCTGCACTAAAACTATTTAAAAGTTCTGCTCTATTTTCTGTTATTGTGGGCGAATTAAAAAAATAATTAAAGTAAGAGGTATAGTGGATAAAGTGCCAGGTGAAGTGATCAGATGCTAAAATTATAAGTTAAAATAATAAGAGCTCAGGTCCATCATTGTTTACCATTGTTCATTTAGTTAAGTTAGACTATCTTAAAGATTTGTGAAATTAAGCTATTGGAAGATAATTTCCAACCACATATATGCCTACACTAGGCTTAGACCTCTGTAATGAAATAATGCTAACATGGTCAGACAGATTGCACAGTTTAAAAGTGAACAAGTCTGTTTCCCAGACAGAGGTTAAGCCTAGTCCTCATCTACATTATAGTCTTAATGGAGAATCTCCATTCAGAATGCTGTGTAATGCACGGCTGCTGCTTTTACTACTTAAACCCCCATAAATAATAAGTGTTTTTGTGTACCAGTGTATAAACACTAAGGGCTGGTTACACAGACCGGGACTAAGCATAGTCCAGGAACAAACAGCATTTACAATGGAGATTTTCTATTGAAAGGAAAAGATGGTCCATGCTTAATCCCTGTCCGGGAAACCAGCTCTAAGTCTATGACCCCAAGTGCTAGAGCTTTTGTTCTCCAGAGCACAGCGGAGTTAGGGTGGTGTAGTTGTTGCAAAAGAAGTTGTTTTGCTGCTTACTTAACCCATCAGAACATAGGGGTGGGGCGTGACCTGTCAGGATGGCTCCGAAGTAGCACTTATGAATTACCAAGCAATAACGTCTCAAGTGTAATCTTATAATAAATTTGTGAAATTGCACTAGCCTCCACTGAGTTCTATTGACCGCGCTCTCTCCAATTCTCAGGTATGGAGATGCAGTGAGTAAATACGAGACAGTTATGAAGACGGAGCCGAATGTGCCTCAGTACACGCTTCATGCCAAAGAGCGTATCTGCCACTGCCTTTCAATGGTAAGCGCAGTTCCTTTGCTGACCACCAGCTGTCTCTGTTTGCCAAAATATCAAAGGTGATGTTCAGTATTGCTTATAGTCATGTCCCTTATCGCACGACGCTACTAATAATGTTCTTTGCAGCAGTAGAGTGAGTCTGCATTATGAAAATGTTATTTTGCTTACAGGATCAGCAGGGTGCTAAAGCCATCCCAGTGTGCAGCGAGGTTCTCAACTCAGACCCACAGAATGTAAACGCTCTAAAAGACAGGGCAGAAGCCTACCTCCAAGACGAGCAATATGAAGAAGGTAACTTTGAATTCCTCACTGACAGTGGCATTTATAAACTCATTTACACCCTTACTGGAAAGCAATTAAACATACTTCATCTACTTTGCTCCAACTCAAGTGAGAATATTGTAGTACTGTTTTCATACCAGTATATTGTCTCTAAAATGACTGTGATTATTGCGTGTAGGTTTTTTGATATTCTTTCTAACAATGGATTAAGGGTGTAGCCTCATCCTGCCATCCTGAGGTCCTCTTTGATGGCTCTTGTCTAGCAGCGAATGCCAGAGCAGTCACATATGAGAGAGCCTCCTGTAGACATCTCTATGGCAACCATGGTTTTCGCAGCGGAAAAAAAAAAAAGAGAAGCGATTGGTCATTAAAGCTCTTCATGAGCGAAAGCCGAAGTTATTGGTAGCAGCGGGCAAAAAAAAGTGCCTGGAAGCGTTTATATACGAAAAAAAACAGCCTTTTTTTGCAGGAGGGAAACTTCACTTGCAGCTGTAGTTGTAATGCAGTGCTGAGCTTGTAATATGCTGCACTTTGTCGACATACAGTCCACAAGCTGTTGTTATACTACAGTTTGGCGTTTGTTTATAGAGATAATCTGTCTGGATCTGTGGCCTTCATCTTTATAGCTTGTTCCTGAAGACATATCCTCTTAAAGAATAGTTCCAGAATTAGTTCCAGCTCTAATTGTGTGATATTCAACATTTCCCCACTGTTGTTATGCGAGCTGCAACACAGGTTGAGTTCCTGTGTTTATGGTAGTTGTAATCCATCAGGTAATACAAACAGTACACAACAAACCTCCACGTTTATATAAATAAAGGGCCTCACGATGTACAAAATGCCTAGAAGCTGTTTAGATTGTGGCTGTAATGTAATACGTAGAGCCAGCAGTGACTTAAGTCCTGCCTAGACTTGTCTCTGGATTTGAAAGCTGAGGCTCCACCTGCTGCCTTTGCAATCTTTAGTCTATATACTATCTATGCTGTTTTTAGAATAAGCTGATTAAATAATTATAATTAACCACAGGAGTGAGTTTTGGGCTGTAATTTTTGCAAAGCTGGATGTTTGTGTCACATGTGGTCATATGATCATGCTGTGTTCGCATGAATGTTTGATACTGTGCATAGAAAGCAATGCTGTGATATTGTGTAGCTGTATGAGAATATGAAGAGGTTCTTGTATACATGCAGCTGCCATTATAATCGCCATTATAATAAACTACATGTTTCTAAGAGTCAGAATATGTTTGATGTGGATACTAGTGCTACAGGGCTAAATACACCAAGTAGCAGCAGTTAAAAACATTTTTTTTCCAACTCAGCGCAACATCTGCTTGGAAAATGCACCAAATCACAGAGATTTGGATCCAGTTGAGACTAAATGTGATGACCGCTGAGTCTAGTGAAAAACAGTTCAGCCTGTAACTGTCTCAGGGCAAGAGGGAGAACAACAATGACGTAGCCAGTGGAAATAAAATCACGGATCCCATGTAAATATAATCCTGTCTGAATAGGCTATAGCCTTTGCAAAATATGGCACTACTGTTTTGATGTGTTTTTTCTGATTCAATTCACACAAACCTCAGAAAAATAATGTAATTCATATTTAGTACACTGAAACTGTCTTCAAGTATTATTAGGGGTGAGCAATATGATGACATTTTATCGATATTGTGATAAATTATGTCATTATATGCTTTTCAGAGCCAATCATGGATATCGTCAGTGCTTCAAGAACACTAACTAAATGTTTCGTTACAAAGTGAGCATAATTAGGCCTGTTTAACGAGATTTAGTGCAGTGCAGTTTGTAAAACAAAGTCAAAAAATCATTGACTTTGTAGGTTTGTAACAATTCTGATAGTATTTTTACATCTGGCACTCCAGGTCAGATTTTTACATATTAGAAAAACAAAAATATATGCCATATATCGTGAAAATGTTGTTGATATATTTTGTGATATATTTTTGGCATGTTGCCCACCCTCATCTAAAAAGTGCCTCCTCTCTGCAGCAATTAAGGACTTTGAGAGTGCGAAGGAGCACAGCGATGACCGTCAGATAAAGGAGGGGCTGGAGAGAGCACAGCGGCTCCTCAAACAGTCGCAGAAGAGAGACTACTACAAGATCCTGGGGGTGAAGAGGTGAAGTACCTTATCAGCTAACCATTGACTTGTTTCACAGCTGATGTTACAGTCTGTAATGATTAACACTTGCAATAAATGGACTGCGTAGGACGGCTCAGAAGAAGGAGATCTTGAAAGCCTACAGGAAGCTGGCACAACAGTGGCACCCAGACAATTTCCACGATCCTGAAGACAAGAAAAAGGCTGAGAAGAAGTTCATAGACATTGCACAGGCCAAGGAAGTGCTCACTGATCCAGGTAAACACTCGAATGATTCGGTCTGTTTGTGGAAATTATTACGTTTTACTGGGAATTTAGTCAATTTAGTTTAAGGGCTTTATCTGCTAGCTTTGCAAGCTCAAGTAGTTTTATACACTGGCTCAAACAATTGCATATTCTTTATCTCACTTTAGCTATAATTGGGTCCTTCTTTTAATCCTGGATAGATTAAGCCAATTTTGCTTTAATCTGACATTTGTTGGGTTTGAGATAAATCGTATTGGAGTCTCTTTCCTGAAAACATGTACAAAGACGGACGGCCTCATGCGGAATACAATATGAGTCAGAAAGGATTTAAAGGGCTCATATAGTGGAAAACTGATTTGAATAAAAGAGTTTTCAAACATGCCATTCACTCTGTGGTCCACGTGGTCCATGTGTGAAGGCTAAGCTGCAAAACCAGCCTGTTTTAAATTCACTCTTCCTGTGATGTCACCAAAAAAAACATTTACATATTCACCTTTTCAGTTTACAGGATTTTAGTCCTGCCCACTCAGACTGTTATAAGGAGTGTTTCAGCCCAGACTGCTTTTTGAATGAGGTACAATATAGTGGGGCAAGTCAGAACAGATCATTTACATATATCAGTCTTAAAGGCACAGTAACAAAAACAGCCTATTTAATTCTAAAGAAAGGTTGAAAAATGGTCATGTAAAAATGAATTATGTTCTAATTGAATTCTGAATTATGTAAAAATGAATTATTGATACATAAAACCAGACAAATAAATAAAAATGAAATGCAAGGAAAAAGTTGCATATGGGTCCATTTAATAAAATAGATTGACAATATTACATTTCTTTTTCCATCTGCACAAGAACACGTGGATTATCTGTTACTGCGCCTTTAAGACTGGTGTATTTAAATGAGCTCTGTTCTGATTGGCTGCCCTTTATTGTGCCTCATTCAAAAAGCCCTCCAGGCTGAAACACTCCTTATAACGTGAATGGGTGGGGCTAAACTGCTATAAACTGCTGGGTGGATAGAGTTGTATGGAGAAGTTAGGGCACCCCTGGACAAATCTGATATTTTGCTGATTTTGAAGTGAAATGGAGTCCCTAAATGTAAAAGAAGCTGCATTTTTCTTGTATTTTATTCCTCCTTTCAGTTCCCTTTAGAACATTTGTGCAGTTTTATGTTCTGGTATAAGATAAATGAGCTCTATTCTGACTGGCTGCCTGTATTGTCACATTCAAAAAGCAGAAACACTCCTTAGAACCTTAGTGTGAATGGGCGGGGCTAAACTGCTGTAGGCTGGATAGGTGGGCAAATGTAAATGAGGTGGTTCTTGTGACATCACAGAAACATTGAACTCAAAATGACTAGTTTCCAGAAATGGACTGTATGGACTGGGTAGTAAGTGTTTCGGTTTCCCATGATCGGGGCCCTTTAATGCACAATTACTTCATATTAGATTGACTTAAAAATAATAATAAACATCACAAAACACTTTAAAAACAGGCTGTTTTTGCAGTTTAGAGACTATCAGAGTTTTTCTGTTCTGTTGCCCCATAAAACAATTTTTTGAAGCCATACTGCCCACCCCTTCAAAAACGGCTGTACTTTTTAAGCATCTAATGGGCCTCTAACTTCTGTTCTTATGCAGAAATGAGGAGTAAGTTTGACCAAGGTGAGGACCCCCTGGACCCTGAGAGCCAGCAAGGAGGAGGCCACCACCATCCCTTCCATGGCGGCTGGGAGAGTTTCCAAGGCTTTAACCCTTTCGGCTCTGGACCCTTTAACTTCAAATTCAGCTTTAACTGAGGTGACCCAGGAGGACATGAGTTCAGATTGACCCGGTCTGGACGTGTGCTCGGCTGTTCCGAGAGAACTGGGACGTGCTGACACTAATTGACACTAACTAGCCACAGAATGCCGATGTGGTATTAAGACTCGTCCCATTCTGTTTAAAAGGTCTACTTTGGCAGGGGGGGTGGAAGCCCCCTAACTTTTCTAAAGTGGCCCCAAGCCGTATTATTTGAAGCAACTCCTTCTTCAGGGATCTTATGATTGAGAGTGTGTGGTTCATTCCAAAGCAAGCACTGTGCACACATGGTGACCTTTTCATCCATTCCTATAAGACTATTGTGTACATAGGAAACGGCACTATTTTTCTATAAATTAAATAAGGCTGCATTGTAAATACTGAAATAAAGAAATCATGGCTTATTTAACTAACAAGAAAGCCTGGCAGCGTTTTTACAGCACTCAGCTGTTTAATTTAGCCATTAATGAAAACACCATCAGCTAAACGGCTGTCATGGCTCTGGCAGCTGCATTTGAAGTCTAGTGGCGTTTTAAAGGCCTTGTTTTGTGAAGCATAATGATGCAGTCAACAGTTTCACAAGGGTGAAAGAATGAAAATGAAGATCAGCTCTTATCGAACATGGAAGATTTAATCACTAGGGATGCACTGATATGGAAACTGTGCCAGTGTTAAAAGCCGATATTTTTCATGCACATATCTGCCGATACATAAACATTTATCAATTTGGGATTAGATCTACTTGGATTAGCATTCTGGAACAATGTAGCATTTATTTGTAGAGGGTTATTAATGCAGCAAAATGAGTAAAATACAAACATTTTAGCATAGTAGCTCAGCATCACCAAAACATTCTGCTTATCTGGGGAACAATAAATCCATAATCAAATATCATCTTAAAATATCGGTCGTATCTAAAAACATTTGTCTGTTTTTAAGCAATTACCTGCTGATACGATATGATTCCAGTTTCATTGTAAATCCCTAGTTGTCAGAGCAGTTAAGTTTAGACAGTGTGGCCACTCTTACAGCACAAAACCCAAATATCCATAAAAAAGCTCAATTAATTAATACACTTAATTTCATTACAGTTGGAATTGTTATATTATTAATTATTCTCCAGGGTATATTTTGGATTGTCCATCTGAATTTACATGACCAAATCGTAAGGCAAATTATTCAGTAACTGCGTGAAATAAATGTACATTTTTATTTTATTTATTTTTTTGTAAAAGCTCCCCTCAAATTAACAGAACTTGTTTTATGATCATACACATATTGATATATGCTTACAATTCACTGCTGAAAGCCAAAAATCTTAGACGCTTTTTGTATTATTTTATAAAAATCATTTTTACAGAGCAGATCACTGAAGAGACGCCATCTGTTTAGTTTATAGCACAGATTTGTGGAAAAAAGGGTCGACTTTAAGCTGAACTCACACTTTAAATTGTGAGTTCAGCTTCTTTTATTATAAGAGTTAAAATTACATTACCCATCTATTTGACTGGATAGAAGACAGTTACGGCTCACATATGACACCCAGCTTTTGAATGTAGCTTATGAAATATGAAAGTTGTGTTTTGGAACCACCGGTGGTCTCAAGGAGTTGAAGAGGTTAATTTTAAAGCTGCACTTAAAAAAAGTAGCATTACTGAGTCAGGAGAGGGAAAAAAGCCAGAATATGGTGTTGGTGTGCTACTCTGAGTTGCCCTAAAATAACAATTTACATTAAAAAACGTTCTTCTGCATGTTGCATGCAATTACACCTTTCCACCAGAGAGGTCTCCAAATCCTCAAAATTTACATAGTGTAGCTTTTAATTAAAAATGATAATAGTAATCATGATAAACTTTATTTATATTGTATGTTTCATGTGTTTAAAATGAAGCACAACATGCTTTAGTGTTAATAATAATAACTTTAATAATTTACAATAATATCATGAAGACTTAAATCTTAGACACCAAAAGGTATGAGATGTTTTGTTTCATATTTGTTTGTTTTGAGTTATTATTTACTGTAGAATACATGCTGTAATTGTCTTTTTTTTTATTTTTATCTACTTTTTAAAATATGATGCATTCTGGATGTTAGACTTCAGAACTTCATTCTCAACTTAAAAAAAAGATATTAAATATTGAACAGATCATTTCATATTTTGGTGTCTAGTGTATAAGAATTAAATCTATGTGATACTATTTTAAAGTTATAACATTATAAAGCACTTTGAGCTTCATTTTTAATGGATGAATTTTTTGCTATATACAGTCAATTATTAATATTATCTACCTCAAGATTTGATCACACTTTTTGAATATGAGGCATTCTGCGTGTTAAATTATGACTTCATTCTTCATGTTCTGCAGCGTTCTCAGTCTCCGTTCATCATTTTGGACACATCTAACATTTTTATTAACAGTCTCATTTCTTTCTATTCATTATTTAAAATCTCTGAAATTGTACTGGACTAAATACTGACTTTACTTAATACATTTATCTAAAACCAGATCAGCTTTGCATTACTAAAAGAAACACTGGGCCTCATTCACCAACCGTTCTTAAAGGGGAATTCCACCGATTTTTCAAAAATTTTCCATAATTCAGTCCTGGAGATGTGAACAAATCAGAGTGCTTTGATGTGAAATGGTTCATTTGTAGAAACTCAGATTTCTGTACAGTGGTGGTGATAGGAACCAGGAGTCACAATGTCTACAACACAAATATAGCCACACGTTTTAGTCATAACACAATATCAGACATCAAGCTGAGTATTCAAAACTATTTCTTGTAATAACCTAATTTTGACTCTAAGTTTTTCTAGAATGAATCATTTCACACCAAACCACTCTGAATGACTGTTTACATCTGAACCATTTAATTATGCAAAATCTTTGAAAAATTGGTGGAGTTCCCCATTAAGAAGAAATTTCTTCTCAAAACCCACTTACGCAGTTTTCACAACAATTCCGATATCCACCAGTGTTTTATCTGGGATTTGTTCTTAGGTAAGAACAGAATCTACACACTCAAGAGCATAAAGGTGAGAAGAGTTCTGCAGTTGAAGAACACGTCATGAATCTGACTTATTTCAGATCTTCTCGAGAGCAAAATTAAGAAAACTTAGGAAGATATGGATTAATGAGGCCCGTTGATTCCAAACTTGAACAGTAGGAAGAGATGGAACCAGCACTCCAGAGAAATGATATTACACTTTATTCCTGAGAAAAATCCACATCCTCCAGCATCAAGACTTAGTAACAAAGGCCCACATGCTCGTACACTGTATGTCCAAAAGTTTGTGGACACCTTGTTAGTGAATTCAGCTGCATTAAGGTCACCCACTGCGGACACAGGGGTTCAAATACACACACAGCTTGTATAAACTAGAAAAGCACTGACCAATAGAATGAGACACTCCGGAGAGTCTAAAGTCATCATGCCTAATGCCAAGTGTGGGCTAGAAGGGTATAAAGCCCCCCAGCATTGGGCGGTGGAGTAGTGGAGTTCTCTGGAGTGACGAAGCTCCATCCAATACCTTTGGGATGAGTTAAGGTGACGTTTGTCTAACTAATCATCCAACATCAGTACGTGACCTCACTAATGCTTCTGTGGCTGAATGCAATCAAATCCTCACAGCAATGTTCTGACATCGTGTAAAGCCTTTCCAGAAGAGTAGAGGCTGTTACTGCAGCAAAGGAAGAAAATACACCTTTTTAATACTCTTGATTTTGAAAAACACATTGGATGAGCAGGTGTCCACAAACTTTTGGCCACGGTGTATTTCCTTACCATCAGACAGCACAGCGAACAGCAAAACTGCATTTTCACTGGAAACAGCTTGAGAGCACACTGGCTTACAGCAATGGAGACTCCTCAGTAGGGCTGAAAGATTTGTTTTCACAGCGAAATAGTGACATAAAAGAGTGACATTTTTGTTATAGAATACATTATCAACGTTATCAATGAGTGCGTTTACATGCATTTAATGATCCGATAACTGCAGAAAATCAGATTTCGCCAGTAACGTTTCTACATGCACTGGAGTAATCAGATAATAGGAAACTCTGGGTTTACATGAGTCAGGCAGTAATCAGATTTCTGCTTTGCAACCAGCCAATAAACTCACAGAAGACATGACGTAAACATAATGTAAAACTCAAACTTCTTTTTTTAAACATAGTGACACTGTACTTGAAAATATGAACATACATCATCTAGAAGATGAAGAATGTGTACATCCTTCATTTCGTCAAGCATGTAGTCAGTTTCAGCGTCGCTCCGAAAGTGTTTTGCTGCCACCTCAAGGTAACACTGCTGGCTTATTTCCAGTACCGCTGTCTGTTTTCGCACATGTGCAGACTGAGAAATCTGAAAGAAATCAGAGTAAGAGTCCGCATGCACTGAGAAATCTGATTACTGAGCTAAAATCCAGCCATTTCTTAATCAGATTTCTAGAACTTATTCTGATCTGTCATGACCATTTAAATAGTCAGATAACTGCAGAAATCTGACTATGATTGGATTAATAAGTGCATGTAAACGCACTGAGTGTCGTCAAGTTTTATATGAGGAAATTTAACCTAATAAAATAGAGCTTGTAAACTGGCTGTGGACCAATCAGAAGCACCAAAACACCCATGTTCTGTATATGTGACATCACAACTAGTCTGGTAGTCTGATGCACTCAGCGTTCAGAGTTCATGCCTGAAAAAGTGGATGTTTTGGTCTTCTTAACCAAAAACAGGCCTGGAATATCGGTCAGAAAGATCGTGATTGAATATTTCCCCCAAATCGTTCAGCCCTACTCCTTACTCAGCAGAGGGGATTCTATGGGAACTGATGTGATTTGTTCACGCAGTAAGAAACACTAATGATCTGTACCCTGTTCTGAAGGGTCTTGAGTGGGACGGAGTATTGAAATTCCTCTGCTGACTAACGGAGCTCCAGCGTCAGCCCACGGATTTCATTTTCCTTCCTTTATATTGGTGTTTTACCAGCAGAAACAACTCCTACTACCATGATTAGGTTTCCTCTCTATAGATCAACACAGAGCTGGCGATTTCAAACCAGTGTGACAGAGCCAAAGTAACAGATGTGGAGAGATGTGGAGAGTTTCCTTCTTGTGTAAACATTATCCAACAGAAAAGCTTATCGGGAGCTTGGAATGATTGAGGAATGTGGAGGAAAAGCATGTTTTTCGTCCCTGTGTAACCAGTGCGATTCATCTTAGACCACAAGTATAACAAGACAACTGACATGGTTCTCCACCCTTTCTGTCCTGTCCACACTGGTACAGCAGAGCAGACATCTAAAAGAAAGAAAGGGTTAAAGGTACAGTAACGTTTCACTGCAGGTCATATGGCATGGTACGCAGTCGGAATCATCCAACCACTGAATAAAAAGCAAGTCTTCTTTGCCTTTGTGTCTTGTATCGTTCCATAGGTGCTAATGCTCTGTAACACTTCCTCTTGTCATACGTTAATGGAAAATTCTATCTATTGTACCTTTAAAATAAGGGCTCCATTCACCACCATCCGTAAATAATAATAATAAAAAAAAAGATACAATTTTCTTTTTTATTTAAAAAAAAAATCAGGAGTCTTAGTGTTCCCGTCTCCTCCCAGTCTGCATAAAGCTGAGGTCCGGTCTAATACTTTCAGGTACAGTTTAATGGGAAACGCTCTTCTCTGTGTAGTTGCTGAGCTCAAGCTGCGCAGGAGGACGAGGTGCAAATGTCTCCATTTCCTCTTGGACAGGTGTTAAAGTTCATCACGCTGTTGAGTGCCTGTAAACAAAAGAAGAGTACACTTCAGAAAATGCAGTTTTAGCATCCTTACTAGCCTAAAGACCTCACCATTGGAGCTGGAGCAGTTTCTATACTGTCATTTGTAATGGACTTGGACTTCAGAACGAAGCCTGGATTCATGCTGAAATTTTTGTCAGACCTCTTAAAATATCCAGAATTTTTAAAGATATAAATATATGAAAAAGATACGAAATCTGATACCTCTGAAGCTGATTTTAATCCAGTATGAATCTGCAGTGTGTAGTTTTACAGTCTGACTGTAATAATTGTGGAGTGATTTTAATCCAGTATGAATCTGCAGTGTGTGTAGTTTTACAGTCTGACGGTAATAATTGTGGAGTGATTTTAATCCAGTGTGAATCTGCAGTGTGTGTAGTTTTACAGTCTGACGGTAATAATTGTGGAGTGATTTTAATCCAGTGTGAATCTGCAGTGTGTGTAGTTTTACGGTCTGACTGTAATAATTGTGGAGTGATTTTAATCCAGTATGAATCTGCAGTGTGTGTAGTTTTACAGTCTGACTGTAATAATTGTGGAGTGATTTTAATCCAGTGTGAATCTGCAGTGTGTGTAGTTTTACGGTCTGACTGTAATAATTGTGGAGTGATTTTAATCCAGTATGAATCTGCAGTGTGTGTAGTTTTACGGTCTGACTGTAATAATTGTGGAGCGATTTTAATCCAGTGTGAATCTGCAGTGTGTGTAGTTTTACAGTCTGACTGTAATAATTGTGGAGTGATTTTAATCCAGTGTGAATCTGCAGTGTGTGTAGTTTTACAGTCTGACTGTAATAATTGTGGAGTGATTTTAATCCAGTATGAATCTGCAGTGTGTAGTTTTACAGTCTGACTGTAATAATTGTGGAGTGATTTTAATCCAGTATGAATCTGCAGTGTGTGTAGTTTTACGGTCTGACTGTAATAATTGTGGAGTGATTTTAATCCAGTATGAATCTGCAGTGTGGATTACTAATGCACATACTCACCTGTGCTCTGTGCTGATGATGGTGACGACCCTGTGCGGGACGTGTCCCCTTTCTGGTTTTGTACCCGTTTCAGGAGCTGTTTGATCTCGTTGTCGTAGCTGGACCACTCGGGGACGATGCGCACGGCCGCGCTCAGCTTGGGCTCTTTGGTCTTGGGGTTATTACACTGCAGAGAATCACCAAACAAAAGCAGCCTCATCACTCACCACACTAAAACACCATCCTGCAATAATACCTGCAGCTGAGCAGCCATTTGCAGCACTCTTTAATTTCCTGACCATTGGAGGCAATATTAGCCTGTGTTTTTCTGTGCACATTCACACGCTTCTTTTATATAATCGCACACAAGCTAGAAACATTTGGACAAACAGCACTGAGACGCAGAAGTGACATAAATAATCTGTCAGTAAAGTGAGTCATTCATCAATGTAAACCAGCAATATGCAGATTTACAAACTGCCCTGTACTTCTGTTATCAGGGGTGGAGGGGAGCGAAGGAGTGGACGACACACACATTTCATCACAATATCTTCCACTATTCAGGCAATGACGATACAATAACTATCAAATACTAAGAAAAGTATCATAATTAATAATAATAATTATAAAATAAAATAAAAATAATTATAATAATTCTAAATTAAAATAATCAGAATAATTATTATTATTATAACATCAATATTTCTCATCCCTTCAAAGTTAATAAATGTTTACATCGTACAATACTGTGCAAAAATTCGGAGACTCTTCACTTATTTAATTTAGAGCAGGGGTGCACAATTCCGGCCCTGAAGGGCCGGCGTCCAGTCTGGGTCCACAGTCCGGAGGTTTTCCAGCTCAAACATACCCACTTAACCTGGCAATGAACAGATAAATGCAATCAGGTGTGTTGGAGCAGGTAGATCACCACACTGTGCTGGACACCGGCCCTCCAGGACCGGAGTTGTGCACCCCTGATTCAGAGCTTCCAAAACTGGAATTCAAAAAACGATTCAGAGAAAATGTGACTCCTAACAACCACCTGGAAGGCTTGGAACACCACCAAAACTACCACCATCAGATAAACAGCACTTAAAGCTTTCATCTTTGAGAGAGAGGAGAAAATCAAGCTGCTTCAGATCTGAAAACATCCACAGCCATCCTTCCACTGTGACGCATCAAACAAAGAAGCCGCTGGTGTTCTCAGAACAATGGACTGACCACACCAGAGTCCAGACCTCAGCATATCAGCATACTTGCATCGTGAGAAGCAGAAAATGCTAAACCAACTTCTAAGACTGAACTTTGGAGGATTGGAAAAATATCCCTGCAGATTTGATTTCCTTGAAGAACTGAAAGCAAGTTGAGGCTATATATATATATATATATATATATATATATATATATATATATATATATATATATATATATATGTTGCCGTAAATGAAGTCAAGCTAAAGTAAGCCCATTCCACAAAGTCAGTGCTAATCATCAGACTGACTGCACCTCCAGCTAATGAGACATTTCCCACTGCAGCTTCCAAAGCTGGCAGCCTGGAAGCAGAAAGTGTAAATGAGAAAGCTATTCTCGTCTGTGTGTGTGTGTGTGTGTGTGTGTGTGAGTGTGTGTGTGTGTGTGTGAGTGTGTGCGCAGCTCAGGTAGAGGCAGTGATGATATCCGGCCATTAATTATTTCAGTTTCTTCCTGACTGAAAACATTAAAAACCTGCGTTTCTGCTTGAGTTACTGACCGTTTTGATGTTTCTACACAGGAACTGGTTACTCTGGCACTGGCCCAAGTCACACTGTGCCGTTTGTATATTTCAACATTCTCAGTTTCATGTTTCCCTTTGAGTTTTTGAAACTTCGGTATCAATTTCTCCACAACAGGTCTATGTTTGCTCAAATGGGCCTGTAGCTGTCGGACAAACAGCAGGTAAACGCAAATCAATAAAGTTTAAAGTCAGTGACTCGTTCTTATTATTACTCCTAATAATTATCATTCAAATGTGGTTCACAGAAACTGTGGTTATGCGTAACAACTTGAGTCTGTCTAAATCACTCGTGGCATAAAAACAAGATAGCATTACAGAACACTGACATTTCTGCATAATTAAAATGTTTGGATGTAAACAAAGTCATTCAGAGTGGTTTGGTGTGAAATGCTCCACTCTAGAGAAACTTACTGTCAAAACTGTCAGAACTGTTCACAGACAGAATTGTTCACAGTGGTGGTGATGGGAACCAGACGTCTGAAGAGTTCAATGCCTCTGAAAGCTTCTTCTCAGAAAGTTATTACATGAAATGGTTTTAGCCTAAAACATACTTATTTTTATAACCATTCATGGTGGAGATGTAGATGCAGGCAAAAATAAATAAATAAATATCTATATTTGTGTTGTAGTCATTGAAATCACCACCACTGTAAAGAAAACAGTCTCTACAGTGAACCATTTCACATCAAACCACTCTGAATGCCTTTGTTTACATCCCAACTATTGAATTATGCTGACAATTTGAATCCTAATGTCCTCCTTTAACAGTGTATCTAAACCACTGGCGTCAGCTCTCGTCTCTGAAGACTGCAGCTCTGCCTTTAAAGGGGCCAAAAGGAGCAATGCTGTGGCTCCCTATACTCTAGTGCAGGGGTCGCAACCCAAATGTTAAGAAGAGCCATTTTGTCCTTTCAACAAAAATCAAACCACAACATTGGGAGCCACAACATTTTATGTCCATTTTACCATCTTGGCTGTAAATATGTCTCAGTATGTGCTGATGTGCTAGTATAGTATAGTATATATAATATAAACGAAAACGCAGACTTACTTTGATCTGCTTTAAGCTTCAGCTCAGCTATAGCTGCTTTTCTCACATCTCCAGCAGGAAACTTTTCCTCAAAAGTAGAAGAGTTTCTTGTAAAATGTTTCATAATGTTCGACTTTTTACGAGGCTGAAGTCAGATTCTCATTTCCCATCTTCTCATTCGAATTTTCCTGTTCCACCTTAAATGGTGACTGAGGTGACAGAATGTAACTGCTGCACCATTTAAGGTGGAACGGAAAAATTGGAATGAGAAGATTTCAGCCTCGTGACTTTAGTGTTTGACAGTTTCTCGCTGCAGATTAAACAATTCAGCAAAACAGCTGGAGTGATTATACATGCAAATAAATCCACTCATCTCCAAATGATCAATATTCATCTTAAATCTTTCTCTTTGCTGTTTTGTTAGCTGCTAGCTAGGCGAGATTGTTGTCTGTGTTGCTATGGTGACCAGCAGTCTGTGCGCCAACCTTCAGGGTTAAAGGGTGAATTAGCAGTTCTACGTTAACTCCAGAGTTTAAGACCATTTACTGTTAAACTGTGTTGAACGATCAGCAGAGCTTTATTTTACTGTAAAGGAGGATTATTTTATTATTACCTATAAATCTAATTCTGCTGTGGAGCCACAACAGGGCAGTAAAAGAGCCGCATGTTGCTGACCCCTGGTCTAATTCCCTAAAGCAGAGGTCCTCAAACTGGTCTCCTGGACAGTTCACATTTTTGCTTTGGCCCTATGTGTTGTAAGTTGGGTTGGAACAAAAAGGTGGACCATCTCGGGAGTCGCTGAGGACCGGTTTAAGAACCAGTGCCCAACAGATCCTATCAGCAGATTATTAAACGCTAAATAAAATTAACGCTAGATAAAATGATCTAGTGCTGGACACAGTTGTTTACAATGGACGCTGATTTCGATACATTTCTCTGAGCTTAGAAAAGACCGGAAAACATGCTGACTCAAAACATAACGCACACTGGCTTCTATTACAAGTGCGTTTCCAGTCGACGGGTTTTCTGTTTAAATAACTCTGCAGTGTTCCCTTAAAGAACCATCCCTAAAGGTTCTTTAGAACAATAGTTTTCAAACTACTCCTCAGGGCCACCCAGCCAGTCCATGCTTTTTTACCGTAACCGAGCTCCCATCATACTTTTTTCTTAATAGCTTAATTTAGGAGCTCAAACAGAGCAAAAATGTGAACTGTCGGGAGAGCCCAGTGGTCCTCAAACCAGTCTGCAGCGCTTTTCCTCTATCCCTGTGTCAGTGGTCTCCAACCCTGGTCTTGGAGAGCTATGTTCCTGTAGAGTTTAGTTCCAACCTGTATCCAGTAAGCTGCCCCACCCCTTACTTAACCATAATACATATGATCAAGCCAATCAGGGACTTGGGAAGAGGGTGATTAGCTGGAGCAGGTGAGTCAAACTGTGGTCGGAACTAGGCTCTGCAGTAAGGCAGCTCTCCAGGACCAGGGTTTGGGTCCACTGCCCTATGTGTTGCAAGTTGAGTTGGAGCAAAACTGTGTCCTGGACTGTGGACTTTGTGAGAACCACTGTTCTCGATGGCTTCGCTCCAAAGAACTCCAAGACTGCAGATGTTGGTTAATGAGCTAAAACTGTGGAGATGCCAGCTTGTCTGTGGATATAAAACTCATAAATAACCTTCTGTGGTTACAGAACGAAGAAGCTGGAACCCCTGCGCTCATTAGTTATGCCGAGAAGATTCTTCCAGTCCAATGCGACTCTGGGTAAAGGTCAGAGTGGGTATGTGTGTGAAACGTGCATGCTAATGCAGAAATGTAGAGGAGGGTCATTTGTTCCATGTCCTCTGTGGCAGAAATGACCAAAGTCCAGCACTTCTCGTAGTTACTAACTAGTCTGTTACTGCACTCCAGAAAGCTGTTCTGCACGTTGTGCAGAACACGCGCTCGGAGGAAAGCGCCAACCGCCAGATCTGTTATGTCAGCTAACAGACGCCTGCACTGACTAGCATCGCGCTGAGTGATGGGGGAGAAGGTGGAGGGTGGGACATTCTACCCACCCAGAGAGAGCGAGGCAAATTGTGCTCTCTTGGACTCCCGGCCAAAGATTCCTGTAGCATCACTAGAGATCGAACTCATGATCTTCTGATGATAGGGTCAACGCTAAGACGGTTTCTCCACCCGGGAGCCCAATGCACTTGTTCTTCATAGCACTAAATATACATGAATAAACAGTAGACACTAATAGTGGAGATGGTCATGTTATGACTGTGAAAAATTCGAAATTATAATGTTTTAGAGATTCACAACTGCATACCGACCATAACTAAGGCTACGTTTAGACGGTAAAAGGGGGCCCAGATCTGATTTACTGTTGTTTTTTTTTTCTTTATAATGTGACCTATACCTGACGTCCAGCCTCAACATATAACGCTCCTGAACTGACCAAAAGATCCACCCGACACGCAGCCTGAAACAAACACAGCAGTCCTCTAGATTTTCTTTAGATTGATAGGCTCCATTCGCGCGATGAGCTAAACTAGGAGGACAAACAGACGTCAGTAAAACGACCATGCTGGACATAATTTACAGAAAAGAGTAAAAACTGAATTTGCTGAATTTCTGAGCTTGTTTTAATTGCGGGAAGCTAATCAAATGTTTATGCCATCACATAAAAAAAACAAAAAAAGAAAGAAGAAGAAAAACGAGTATCTCCAAAATGTTACCTTCACAGGAGAGAGCAAAACGTTTTTAACTCTTTCAATGCAAGTTAATATAAAGAGGTTCTATTCTAAGTGATTTTGGAGCTTTTCAAATGGTCCATTCATCATGAAGTTTTCACATGCCGTGTTCAAACGATGTAGAAAAATAAAAATAGACAAAAATGGAGACGTTTTTCTTTGGACAGTGACGATTTGAGCAAATTTGAGCAACATGCAGTATGAATGTAGCCTAAGGAACAGTATGGAATGTGAAATCATGTCTGATCCCTATCAGATCAGTTTAATCTGTTTAATAAGGTCGGTCTCGGCACCGACATCACATGAGGGAAGATTCTACATTGTTCCCTTATGACAATGTAACTTTACACAGCAGGTAAAAGTGGCCCAAATCCAATTTTTTTCCTCATATGTGACACAGATGTGTGTCTGTGTGTCAGTGTAAACAGCAAAAACGCACTGAATCTGACATTTTCAATTCCGATTTGAGACGCTTTCATATGTGGTACTGAAATCCAATACGCATCTGATCTGCGGCAATGCGGCTCAGTCTGAACAGCCAGATCGGAATTCATGCGACTTTTACGTCAGTCCAACTTGACATTCGGCATAATTTCGCGCTGTTAAGACCTCATAAACATTTGGAGTGATATTTCTGTACAAACATTAGAAGAGCCTTATCCAAAACCCTTTTGAAAGAAATGGCTGAACGCGGCCACAGAAGAGCAGCGTCAAAGAAACGTTTTAAGTCTGAAAGCAAAGTTTAAAGAATCCGAGGATGCGAACCAAAGAAGTGACCGTGGCCGAATGACGCGTCCTTTTTACGGCCACCTCGAACACTCTGGGTGATGATTCATGATGGCTCCTTTGATGCTGGTGTAGATGAAACTGAAACCCTCCGGGAGCGACTGGCGTTTATTGTTGTGATTGTTTACCTCTGGATGAGCCGTGAAGCTCTGTTCTTTTGCACATGTGGGTCAGTTTAGGAGCTGATCTGTTCAGACTGATGTCGCATAGAGTCACATTTAAAAGATAATGTGAACAGCCAAACAAAAAAAATCGGATTTGGTGAGAAAATCAACTTGGGCCACTTTTACCTGCTGTGTGAACATAGCCTTTGATGAATTGCAGGCCTCGGGAAATGGGAATCTCAGATTTTCCGCGTCTGGATCAAGTTTTAGGCCAGACGGAGTATATTAAGCATTTGATGTGTCAAAGAAAATTAAAAGCATGAGGAAAAAAATGGCCAATATTTTACTTGCCTAAAAAAATCTGAAAAATTCATTTGGGAAGCGTGAGATTTACAGTCTTTTAATAATCTATTAGGACTTCAAAACTCATGTTGTGTATCTAAAGCTTTAATAAGCAGAAATAGTAAAAACAGTGATATCAGACTCAACAGCTGGATGGAAAGTTACTGTACAAAAGCAATTCTATTCGAAATTAGTTAACTATTCTAGGCATGCAGGCTGCACAGTGCTAGTTGGTGGGGTACAAGTATACATTTATTGAAAATGTATATGTTAGACGCCACTGAACCCCTTTAGAGTAAGCAGGAACAGTTATAATGAACAGTCGCTTTAGCATCAGGGACACATACCAGGTCGATTGTCTTAGCAGTTGGCTTGGATGCATCGTCACACCAGGTCTCACACCACAGCCACTCCTGAGGAAGCGACTTGATGGCCACTTGATGGATCATGTTGTTGGGGAGGTCCTGTCAGCATCACACAAGAACAATGTTGAAACGCATCAGTAACACAGTTAAACTGAATAAGACGCAGTTAGCATTAAGGGCTACACAGGGGTACTGACCTGGTCTAGATTGGAAAGGCTGTTGGGATCTTGACTCAAGGCTTGGTACTGTCCCCGAAGACGATCTCCTGCTGCAATCTTTCTGAACTTCTTCAGGTCCACCACGTACAGTGCACTGAGGTGGCAGGGAAGACATTTATCACAATATGAAACTGCACCAAGCAATTTTAACAAATATTGACCGAAGAGATCCATGAAATAGTTACTGCTGGTAAAGTGGTCTTGAGGGGCCAGATATAATCTCATAACAAGAATACATCTGGGAACAACTTGTTAAACCTTTGGTGCTGGATTGCAGCGAAATCCACCACTAACAAATTCCTCAAGTCTGTGCCATTTTATGTCTGGAGTACAACGTAACCCCCGAAGCCCGCAATTCGTGGGCGAAACGGTTGGTCACTTCTAGCCTTCATAACTTCAGAACAGTTTAAGCTACAGACATGATCCACAAATCAGACCATTCAGCAGACCCGCCCCTAACTAGCATGCATGACGTCTTCAAACTGTGATGTCAGCATCAGAGAGTAATTCGGCTCGGAACATCACCCAAAATCCTGTTACTATTGCTCTGCTTTTTGGCCTTCATATTCCAACAAAGGGTTAAAACAGCGACATGATTCACACATCAGATCACTCATCAGACTCTGCCTCACCATCCAGAGTGATTTCATCCACCTGTGACCGTCCATCAGCCAGCAATCCAGCTCTAAAATCACCCACAACTCACTCACTACTGCTATATTACATCTCTGCTTTTAGGCTTCATATTATAAACAAAGGGTTAAAAATAGTGACATGATTAACACACCAGAGCACTCAGAGGAACCAGCCAGCGTGAGAGAAACCAGCTCTAACATCACACAATCCAGAAATACAGCACAAACACACAGCCAGATCACTGTAAAACTGCTATTAGCTCTCTGCTTTAGCCTTCATGTGGCAACAAAAGGGTTAACCCAACTGTTTTTCCTTGCAAGAGGTGATGTTTATCCCTAAAGCATGCAGCTTCAGGTGGTTGTTCACATCAACCATCAGAATAGGAAAAAATGTGATCTCAGTGATTTTGACAGTCACATGATTGTGGTGCCAGACAGGCTGGTTTGAGTATTTCTATAACTGCTGATCTCCTGGGACAACACCATATATCAGATCTATGGAAGACGTGAACGCCCTTAAATTAAAGTGATAATTTACACATATGTTCAATTCAGTCTGGGGGCATCTTTCAAAGAAATGACATTATAACTTGTTATAACAGTGCTATAAATGGAACAACGTATGGCACTGTAGTCATTTAATTCATGAACATGTGGTGTCGTCTTGAGAATACAGACATAAGCTGTTCACAAATACATAAGTATTGCTTTTAAATGTTTTATTCAATGCTTATGCACGTGTCATGCGCTGTGTTCAGACTGCAAAGCCAAGTCAGATTTTTGGAAAATGCAGGTTGATAGATTCCATGAGAAATCCAGATTTTGATAGCTTGGACAGCAAAAATCGGATGCAAACCACTTTTAGAGGTGGTCTGGAATGCAATTCCAATCAGACTTTAACGGATGTCTCTCAGTCTGGACATTCTAGCCGCTCAAATCGGATTTCAAAGTGTCTTTGCGTCACTCGTAGAGTAACAAACAACAACAATGTGACATCCAGAGTGACGGAAGTGCTGGGATTCAAGAAGAGCAACAAAGATTAATGCTTACGCCAGAGGATTCTAAAGAGTTCGGAGGGTGAGATGATGCACCTCCATCTCTCCTGCCTCTGCGTTTGAAATATGCATCACCAGCATAGCTACGTATTTACTGACACCTGCGTCGTTACCATAGCAACACATGCAGATAGGTTGGCGGGGTCTGGACACTCAAATCTGATCTGATCACTTGCAAATAACAGTGCAGACAGTCGTCTCAAAAGATCTGATTTGAGAAACAGATCCAATTTGCCTGCAGTCTGAACAGAGCCACACACAGCAGCCTCTAAAGTTTACTCAGAGTGGTGCAAAAAAAGGAAAAAAAAAAAAGTCGGCAGCTCTGCAGACGAGATGAGAGCTGATGAGAAGCCACTGAAGAATGGCCAGACTGGTGCAAGCTGACAGAAAGGCTACAGTAACTCCACTCTGTAGAACTGTGGTGAGCAGGCACAACACGTCAAACCCTGAGATGGAGGGGCTGCAACAGAAGAAGACCAAGTCGACTTCTACTTCTGTCAGAAAAGAACAGAAAACTGAGGCTGCAGTGGACAGAGGCTACCCAAAACTGGACGGCTGAAGACTGAAATGTAGTCTGGGCTGATGAATATCAATTTCTGCCGAAGCACACAGATGGTAAGGTCAGAATTTGGCATCAACGACATGAATCCATGGACCCAACCTGTCTTGTGTCAACAGTCCAGGCTGGTGGAGGTGGGGTAATGGAGTGGGGAATGTTAATACCAAATCATCACTTAAATGCCACAGCCTATTTAAGTATTGTTGCTGACCACGTGAATCCCTTCACGGCCACAATCTACCATCTTCTAATGGCTACTTCCAGCATGATAATGCACCATGTCTCAAAGCAAAAGTCCTGTCAAAAGTCCTGAGTTTTATGAACATGACAATGAGTTCAGTGTTCTTCGGTGGCCTTCCCCGTCACCGGATCTGGAACCAACAGAACACCTTTGGGATGTGGGAGAACAGGAGATTTGCAGCATGAAAGCGCACCTGAAAATCGACAGGACTTGCATGATACACATCTTGTGTAATCCATGCCACAAAGAATTTAGGCTACACAGGGAATGGAAGCCCTACCCAGCATTAGCATAGTGTAATACAGAGCTTGGTGAGTGCATATCAACATGCTTAATTGAAGGTTTACTGGGGGGCTTTTCAGCCACGTTATCTTATGTTACATCCAAGGACTAAAGACAGGTTTGTTTGACGTCAGACAACATTGACGGGCACACAATCGCCCCCTACTTTGAGCTCTGCCCTCATCGGATTGGTTTACAATTTCCCTCTCAGTATGTTCCTGTGCTAATAAGTCTATGTTCCCAACCAAAGGTTCTCATGGTTGTTCCCTGACGTTCTTGTTATGAGATCACTCCAGGCTCTGCGAGAGAAAGTAAAGCAGTTTAGAGTGAATTTTCTCAACCTGATATGGTATTTCCTATGACCCAGGTGTGACGCCCAGTAACCCGTCTTCCAGAAACGGTAACCCTCCATCTCTCTCCGGCTGTCGCAGAACGGTGTGTACCCATAGGGAGCGCCTTCCAGGTCCAAATCCCTCAGCTCTTTCAGATCTGCCCTGACAATCTGCGTAAAAGAAGGAATTCAGTAAACACACCTGTTACATATACAGAAATCACCAAATATGTAGGCTTTAGATATTTTTCAGGTCACCTCAGCGCAGTAGCCCATTTAAATAAGCACTGGGACCACAGGGACGTTCTTGTTCTGCTCTTTTCAATTTGTTTAAATATTATTTAATCATGAATTGTGATTAAAGCACTATTAGAGAAAGACATGTCACAATGATAATTGGTGGGGTGTAAGCTCTCATTAGCCTTCATTGTAACCTGTGGACCTTCGCTTTGTGTGAGTTTGTACTTACCTGATCAGCATCCACAAAGATGATCTTATCCACAGCTAGAGGGAAAAGAACGTCCAAGAAGAGGATCTTGTAACCCCAGATGATTCTCTGCTTCTCCGTCTGCTGATGCAGCCAGCGGGGCCACTTATACTGCACCAATTCATACTGGAAACCGTACGCCTCCGCCATGTGGGGAATGAACTCCTATACACAGAAAGACACATTCAGACATGCAGAGGAGTCAATGCAGTGAAGAGGATAAAAAGTGTGAAAGCTCTGCAACGTCTCCAAGCAATACTCATAAATAATTCATTAAACAACTAGTGATTCAGTGTCTTTATGTAACGCAGGGCTTTTTCCCTGCCCTATGTAAACAGCTGGCCATTTGTGGTGAGACGGCTGAGAGATCAGTCCATTTTTAAGGTTGTCCACTACTTAGTAGTTTTACTAAAAAGAGTCTAAACTTTTGGCTGAGACCTGCAGGTGGAGAGGTAATGTAGAGGTATTAGTCTTAGCCATAACATGGTCAACATTACAAATAGCTACAAATAGTGCAGAATCTTGAACATTAATTGTCTATGTTTTTTCATTTTACCGGTCATAATTTTTCTTTGTCCTACAAATTTTAAGTCTAAAACTTTCTGATGTTAATTTCACATCTAGACGCTCCACACCTAGACAGTTTATTTCAGTACCAATATATGCACATTTATTCAGTATTGTCATTATATGCTGTTACCTGCGCCTCCTTGTACAGTCATTATTGCACTGCCTTTTTATCTCAGGTTACAGATCTCCAGATTTCTGTATATTTCTATTTGTATATATGCCTGTAGATAGTTTTTTTTTCGTATGTGTTCTTCTTTTTGTATTCTTTCACTCTTACTATTATTACTGTCCTGTGTTGTGTGACTGCTACTGGCTGTTAAATTCTTCTGATTCCTTTGAGATCAATATAGCATCTATCTATCTAATTTCCAGGTTTCAATGAATAAAACAGACCATGTTTGATGTAAAAATAACAACATGCCCCATATGTAATGTATTCAATTGTATGCAGTCAAATCATCTATTTTCTCAGTAAACACATCGTCTGCAGGAACCAAACTTACCTATGACACTGTTCTGCTAATTTAAACTTGCTGAGTTTTCAAGGAAACACACACACATACACATGTTTAAGAATTCAAAATAGGAAAGTATCTATTAGGAACAATTTGTCCCTTATGTATATACAGTGTTATTGTTTGGAAAAATACTATATATTATTAGAATAAATGCAAATAAACAAATACTGTAAAAAGTAAAATTGTCAAATTTTGTTAAATTTCATTATCGACACACTATAGTACTTATATGTAATAACAGTAGTATGGCCCTATGAATTATATATATATATATATATATATATATATATAATATATATATATATATATATATATATATATATATATATATATACACACACACACACACACACACACATACATATATATATATATATATATATATTTATTATTATTTTTTTTTTTTCCTTTTTCTCTGTGTGACAATGTGTGGCAAGGGGCAATTTCATGATGAATGGACCAACTGTGCAAATGCTGCAAAACTGCTTGGAATATAATCTCTAATATTAACTTTCATTACAAGTTAAGAACATTTTATCTTTCCCTGTAAAGTTACTTTTTTTTTTGGACAGCAACAAAATGCAAGTACCTATATGTAATAAGACTGTTCTAATCCTAACTCTTAACGTTAATCTCAGTAACCAAAAGCATTTGGACTCTGCTCTTTCAGAGCTGATGAAATGTGGACAAAGTCAGGATTACTGTGTTGGTCCTGTTTTTCCAACAAAGTCAGAACATTTTATTTCTGAAAATTGAACAAAAGTGCACACGCAGCGGTTTTACCTTAAAGGAGGGGGAGAGGTAGTTTTTCAGGAACCAGAACTTGATGGGGGTTTTCGTGTGCTGGAGGACAGAGAGCATCATTATCCTGAAAAGAAGAGAAAGCAGAGGATGAATGACAAAAGATGACAGAAAAACAGTGTGTGCCCACTGTGTGCGGCGTGTGGGCGTCCTACCTCAGGAAGCGCTCGTACAGATGTCCAGAGGCCACTGAGAAGATGTTGAGCACATCCTCCTTCTTCTTCTCCGCTTCTTCCACACTGGAGCCGCCTGTTAGACTGAAACACACACACACACACACACACACACACATACGTTTTTTTGTTTGCGGTTTTAGAGTTTGCACCAACACAAATGCCTATGCATGCCAAACAGTATAAATGGCTGTGTTCACATTACAGGAGTGAAGTGCAAAGATACATTTTGCTTTAATGTTAATAGAAGAATCTGCTCTTGATGCATCTCCATTTTTTATTTCTATAGCCAACATTACGATTTTTATATCATAATGTAATCTACAGATGTACACAAAAGTATGTGGACACCATCACATCTGGATGAGCTTGTTGGACGTTTGGAGTGTGTCTGTGGGAATTTGTGCTCATTCAGTCAAAAGAGCATTTATGAGGTCAGACACTGATGTCGGACATAAGACCTGACTCGCTGACTTCCAAGTCATCCCAAAGGTGTTCACTAGGGTTGAGGTCAGGGCTCTGTGCAGGCCACTGGAGCTCCTCCACACAAAACTCGTGAGACCATGTCTTTATAGAGCTTGCTTTGTGCACAGGGGCTGGAACAGGAAAGGGTCTTCCTCAAACACATACTTTGAGGGTCCTCCTCAGACACATACTTTTGGCTATTTACATGCGTATCGCTGCTGTCTGAACAAAACCTTGTATCTCCAAAACGGTAACTTTACAGTAGAAGGAAAAAACATACTTTACTTTCAATGTAAGTCAATGGAACCAGACTTTTTTCCCCAAGTAATTTTGGGTCATTTCCTTTGGTCCATTCATCATGAAATTTACATATAATGTAAAGGACAACAGGTATTTTCAAATTATGCCAAAAACTGAAAGATGGAGATGAGGTTTTGTTCCAACAGCAGCGATATGTTCTTAACATTAAGTGATTTAATGAAAATCACGTTAAATAATATGATACTGAGTAACACAAACTATTTCACATCTCGTTTTGAAAGATGTGAATCCAAACACGTGCATTTGTGGCTGTTTCTTCTCTTCAAATGATGCACACAACAGTGCCCTCCTATCGGACGATTTCCAGATTGCTAGACGCTTTTTACTGAAGTAAATGAGTGAGTTGTGAGATCATGTCCATGTGCTTTACATGGTTAAAAAGAAGACGTTTTCTTTTGTAATAACTGAAGCACTGGAATTCAGCTACAGATGCCTGTGAGAAACTGACAGTTATTACATTTTCAAAATTTTACAATTCAGCTGAACCATCGGGATCTTTAAGCTGCAAGGAAAATGCTGAGAATTTTTCTCAGGTTTGTCGCACTCTGGAAAACCGCCAGTCTTTCAGTAAAGATTTCAGACTTAACTTTCAAACTTAATATAGAGTAACAAAAAGTAAAATAACTTAGGATGTTACTGTATTACCCTGTAAGCCAGTCAGCATTGCCTGATCTGGTTGTTAAACAAAGTCTAAGCAGGATATGCTTTTATCTTGCTTCTCTTCATAAACTGACTTTTTAAAATATATTCATTTTAAAGCATTCTTATTATTTTATACCACATCTCTAATGATTTACTAAGACTGGACTGAAGTATTATTCTAGCCTTTTACCGACTGCCCTTTTATTTATTGACTTTGCTTATTTGTATATATTTACTTTATATATTTTAATGCTATACTTACATTTTTTTGATAACACTTTATCTGAAGCCTATCTCCTTACAGACTTCATAATAGATACTTAAGCATTGATGAGATATTTAAAAAGGAATAATAGGGCTTAATGTCAGCATTCGAAAATGAAATACAATGTTTTATTAAATAATCTACATTGTATTTACATAAGGGCCCTTAAACTAAAGTGATATTTGTTACATTTGTAACACTGTTATGAAGCATCTTTTCCATTTTATAACACCATATATCAGATCTATGGCGGACTTGAATGCCCTTAAATGAAAGTGAAAATTTTCCTATCAGTCTGATGGCATCTTTCAAAGAAATGACACTATAACAGTGTTATAAACGGAACAAGTGTCTGTCACTGCAGTCATTTACTGCATGAACATGTGGTGCCGTTATGAGAATACAGACACAAGCTGTTCACAAATACTCAAGTGTTGCTTTTAAATATGATATTTAATCCCTATGTATGTGTCATGGGCTATGTTCAGACTGACAACCCAAATCAGATTTTTGGCAAATCCAGACTGAAATCGGATCCAAGCCACTTTTGGAAGTGGTCTGAAATACAATTCGAATTGGATTTTTACAGATGTGTCTCCGTCTGGACACTCTGGGTGCTCAAATCAGATATCAAAGTGTCTTATGCGTCACTCATAACATGACAAATTACGCCAATATCAAGTCCAGAGTGACAAAAGTGCTGGGATTCAAGAAGAGTGCCAAAGATTAATGCTTAAGCCAGAGAATTTTGAAGAGTTTGGAGGGCGAGATGATGCACCTCTGTCTCTCCTGTCTCTGCGTTACCAGCATAGCTACATAGTTATTGATGCCTACATCGTTACCATAGCAACACATGCAGATACGTTAGTGATGTACGGACACTCAAATCTGATCTGATCACGCAAATAACAGTGCGGACAGTCATCTCAAAAGATCTGATTTGAGAAACAAATCTGATTTGCCTGGAATCTGCAGCCATGAAGTCCATATATAGGTTGCCTTCAAACTGTTACCTTCTAGTTTATTTTACGCCATCATGTGAGTTTAAACTGAGCTAGATTGAATTGTACTTTCTATAATATGCAGGTCATTTCAGGGCAGAGGTGTGTTCACACTAATGACAGAATAAAGTCATTTAGCAAGGACATCAAAGAAAGAAGGTTCAGATCTGAGCAACAAGGCCTGTAATGTGAATGAAGCCTGAATACTGCGCTATGCTGAACTGCAAGTTGCACAGGATGCACTACTGACATTAAGCGCGTTTACATGCACTTATAGTCTGATAACTGCAGAAAAACAGATTTTGTCCGTAATTCGTTTCATGCATTTACAAGACAGTGGGAAAGCTCAGGGTCTATATGAGTCAAGCAGTGAACGGATTCCTGCTTTGCAACCAGCCAATAAACTTCCAGAAGGCGACATGACGTAAAACGAAAGTAAAACCCAAACGTCATGCCACGGCTTTTTTATATGTAGAAGACGAACAATATTTCAATTCATAATTTCGTCAAGCATGTAGTTGGTTTCAGCATCGCTGAAGTTGGTTTGTTGCCATCTTGCGGCAGCTGTGTTAAACAATGCTTGCTGTTTCTGGGACAGCACTCTGTTTTCTCACATGTGCAGACTGAGACAAATGAAAGAAATCAGAGTAAGGGTATACACGTACAGAAAAACCCTATTGCTGAGGTCAAATCCAGCTCCCTTTATCGGATTTCAAGAAAACTAATAACGTCCTCAATCCGATCTAAGAAATCTGAGCATGCTGTTAATGTGACTACTTGAATAACTTCCAAAATCCGATAATGAGTGTGTTATTAGTGTGCACGTAAACGCACTCAGTGATTTTAGACAGCCAAAACAAATCAGTCCAGCATGCACGGAGAACACAAACAGTCTAAAAAGTCACAATGTTTTTGTAATACTGCGTTTTTTTATTACACCCTCTTGTTAATTACTGAACCGACCCATCTCAGGGGGCCAAGCACCTGCTCAAGAGCTTTCAGTTCATCGTAATTAACAAAAAAATAAATAAACAACTGGCACAGGCCACAGGGTTGCTGAGGGCAGCAGTGCACTGCTTCAGGCCATGACAGGATGTTGTAGTGTGGGGCTTTTTTACATAGGAAATGAGCAAACACACTGCATTCCTATTACATTGGTTTGTTTCCATTGGCATTCAATATATACCATATTTCACACACTATACACTGCATAGATTGCTCAAACTGAAGGAAGGGGCACAAACATTGACATCCAGCCTATAAACGGCATGAAAAGAAAATCCCTCCTGAAGATTTCTAAGGAAGGGTCCGCTGCTATAACCTACCAGCAGAGGGCGGCTCTGTGCAATACTATATAATAGGAGCCTTATTACTGATCTTCTATATGCAGAAGGAAGAATGGAGACAACCACTAGCCGCCCATTTCAATACTCATGCCCCCATCAACTTGGCCTCGCCTGGGGGGAGGACTGCCAACTTAAGGGCTATTATTTTATGTACTTTAGTTAATAAACTTTAGTTTGTTGTACTTTAGTTTCATTACTTTACTGACGCTTAGTAGATGAGCATTCAGAGAGGTGAGGCATCAGTTGAAGGAATAACTGCTATCAGACACAAAACCCTTTTCAATGCCCCCCAAAAATGGTGGACAAAATGGTCCATAAGCAACAGCAATAAAATACTATGAAATACTCAATATTTCAAAAGTATAACATTCAATCTGCTGTGCTCCAACTGGGATTTAGCAAGATACCCACTCCATCTGTGCTAACTTTGCTCTGCTAGCTTTCTAGTTAGACTGTACAACAAAAATAAAGGCAATACACTACAGTTCTAAACCAAAGCTACAGCCAGACAAAGCACAGCATTCAAGTACATCATATTCAGACTTCTCAAAAAAAGAGTTTTGCATTACAAAGCTTCCATGGATAGCTAATTAGTTAACTGAGGATAACATAGCCGATGGCAAGTGTGTTCCAAATGAACAATACACTGCTCACTGTCCCCTCCTCCCATACTGCTGAGACTGGCCGCTGTGCAGAAGTCAGAGACCACCCTTCAATTACTTAACTTCCAGTCAAAACAACCATTAAGTAAAGTTAAGGAGACGTTTCTTAGGTGATTTGATATAAGATAATCCACTTTCCCTTGAAAGTCAAGCAAAAAAAGTTGAAAAAAACAAAAAAAACAAAAGAAGGTTTAAATGATATAGCGAAAATGTAAGACATGGTCTACACCAAAACTGACCCCCATCAGATAAACAGCGCCTAAAGCTTTCATCTTTAAGAGAGGAGAAAATCAAGCTCCACTCTTGCTTCAGTTCTGAAACAACAGGTGTTCACAGGTGTTTCTTCCACTCAACACTATGAGCCTAAAAGGATGTGTAGCTGCCAAGAAGCCCTTACTGAGAAAAGGAAACAAAAAAAAGAACATTTGCACTTGAACACTGAAATTGAGTATGTGGAGTATGTTTTTTTTTGGACTGAATCTAAATTTGTAATTGAGATTACTTGCATACAGAGAAGCATAAAATGCAACCAGCTTCTAAGACTGAACTTTGGAGGTGTGGCTGCAGATTTCTTTGAAAAACTGAAAGCAAGTTTACTGAAAAGAATGGAAGCTGTAATAAAGGCAAAGTGTGAACAGACTACATAATAGAGTGTTACATGTTTTCTTCTTTTTTTTCCCTGATGCTGAAAAATCAATAACTTATACTTAATGGCCGTTTTGATTGGAAATTAAATAAAAGGTTGTCTTTGACTTTTGGCCAGCACTATAGGTGTGATGCACTTCTGAGTGTTGAAAGCTGCAGCCATTAACGAAGGTATTGAAACAGGGCCTAGTATACAGACTAGGGCCCAATCCCATTTCTTATTTTTACCCCTACCCCTTGTTTTTGAGTGTCGCCTTGCCCCTTGGAACTGAGTTACAAGGGGTAGAGGTTGAAATCTTCCCCTGTAAAATGGGACCCTCAAATAAAAAGAGCTACTTCATTAACAGCTACTAGCGCTGCTCTGTAGGTGACCCTGCCAGTCTGCAGTGATAGCAGAGGAGGGTAAAGTTCAGCTCCTCACTGCTGGGCTTTAGTTAACTTCTGGACATCACATGCCTTAAAAAGGGGGGGTAATTAATTTTTTTTTTCACCCACCCCTAATTCTTCAGTGATACGAAGCTGAAGTCAGATATTCGCCAGCTTCTTGTTCGAATTTTCATGTTCCACCTTAAATGGTGCAGCAGTTCTGACACCTGAGGCGTAACTGCAGAATGTAACTGCTGCACCATTTAAGGTGGAACAGGAAAATTAGCTACTAAGACATCAGCGTACTATTAGTGATTTTTATGCTTGTTATGAAAAAAAGGATCATAATACATTGAAACGACATTAAACTAAGAGAACACAATGGTTACTGTAATTTTTAAACTTTGTGGGTTTCTTTGGTTGCTTGTGCAGCCATCTTGCTTTTGTCTCTGTTTGGAGTGAGCCTCTGAAAAACCTCCGTTTGGAGGGCCATGTAGCCCCAACACTTCACCTTACCCCTCCATCTCAACAAAACTGGGACACCTTACCCCCAGGCGTGAACGTGCAAAACAGAGGGGTAAGGGCTAAGTGGTAGGGGCGATGGGGGAAGTGGTATTGGGCAGTAGTGTAGTAACTTGGCACAAACATAACTGGACATATTATGACATACTGTTATTTAGAAAAGTGGGCTTCAAGATGGCTGCATGTATGTTCATGCAACACACTTTTATCCATGTTTGTAGATGACAGTATGTCATGCATTATCGTAAAACACAAACACACAAGTCTATAAGAGAATAGATTTGAAGCAAATGTGTGATTTAGGCATGCAGCTTGCACGATGCTAACTGATGCTCATTCATGAATCTTAATGCTTTTGCTCAGCACATTTTGCCAGCCATGTACACAGAGTGGCTGGATTGCATTACTCTCACTCGGAAAAGTTTTTTATGCACCTGAGATGAAAACCTATCAGCCGGAGGAGTCACACAGGTTTGGTATGTGATAGATTTAAAGGTTTAGCTCCCTACCTTCTCTCCAAAGTACTCCACACACTTCACAAAGACAGCAGTGAGCGAAGAGACAGATCACAAAGTTAACACAGTTCATTGGAATGAACATGCATACACAGTGATCGCACAGTGAAAAGTGTCTGTGGAAAAATGAACCCGCTCAAATCCCACCCGAAGTGCACGTCTATTGATCTTAGTGTTAATTAGACAAAACTCTGTTATCTCTAGCCTAGCATGGCTGTCTTAAGCTGCCTAAAGGCAAAGGAAGCCTTCAGTGCCGCTGAGTGAAAAACACGACACTTCCCAGATCTCCAAATCCCAAAATACAGCAGAAACCAGATCACACACATGGAAACACAGCAGTCTATGCTGGACTCACCTCGTTATAGAATCCCACAGGCCTTTGCTTTCTGTAGTCTCGCTGAGGAGATCTTCGTTAAGTTTGTCAGGCTTTTTCTGAACCTGAAATCCAGAGACAGGAGAGCTTTGATTTCTTCTGAAATGTTGACAAGTGTGCTGGAGTAAGCTCACCAAACAAAAAATGTGTCGCATGCATCAATTCTATTCTAAAAACTTACACGTCTTCCTGAATAAATAACAGTGACAATCCTGTCAGCTAAGGACTGCATCAATCTCTTCAGATACACTGTGGCCAAAAGTATGTGGACACCTGACCACCCATTTCAAAATCATTGGCACCAATACAGAGCTGCCCCCTTTGTGGCTTTAACAGTCTTTACTCTTACGGGAAGATTTCTCAGAGTGTGTCTGTGGGAATTTGTGCCCGTTCAGCCAAAAGAGCATTTGTGAGTTCAGGCACTGACGTTGTACGAGAAGATATGGCTCACAATCATCACTGTCAACCCAAAGGTGTTCGAGGAGGTTGAGGTTAGGACTCTTTGCAGACCACTGGAGTATCTCCACACCACACCAAACTCATCAAGCCAATTTGCACGCTTCAGCACATGTGAGTATGTGTGGTCGACCACTTTGAGGCTGAGCTGTTGCTCCTAGATGCTTCCATTTCGCAATAATAACACTTACAGTTGGCTGGGGCAGATCTAGCAGGGCAGAAATTTTATGAACTGACTATGTCCGTCAGTATGACTCAATAAACTGCCAATGTGTGTCTGTAGAGATTGTGCTTGATTTTATACACCTGCTTGCAATGGATGTGGCTGAAACACCTGAATTTAATAATTAGGGTGTCCACATACTTTTGGCCATACAGTGTAGTTACTATCCATTCTATGAAGACGCTCCATTTTCTTACTATCCCTTTAAGACTGATCACTGCGCCTCATTAAAAAAGCAATATGGCCTAAAACACTATTTATAACTCTAACAGGAATGGGAGGGGCTAAACTGCTGCAGGCTGAAAAGTTGGATATATGCAAATGTGTTTTTGTGATGTCACATTTTAAAGCACAATTACCATTTAGTTCATGACTTTAACATATTGGAAAAAATAAAACATAAAACATGCACTGTGCAAAAGTTATGGTTATATTTAATATGTTACGTTGGTTATATCTAATATGTTTAAATTTGTTTCCAGTATGCTAAATGCAATAAATATTGTGCACTAAAATCTGCAGAAATTTGCATTATGTCAGCGACTCAAGACTTTATTCTTGCACTGTAAATTGTTTATCATCACTATCAGCTCACTTTCTTCTGTAAGGCTAATGGGTAAATACTCACTCTGACTTTGATGATCTTGCTGTGGAAGCTGTTGAGCACCACGATAACATCCCCAGCATCTGCGGGCGAGTCCGTTCCATCATGCCTGGAGCATAAAAACACACCACTTAAACACAAATACATACTGGATTACCAAGTATGAAAAGAAAGCTTGAGATCCAGGTCACTACACATGATAATCACAGTGATGGTCCTCACATGCTTCTCCGTTACCTACAGCACTGGAACTGAGCAGGATGTTCCTCTCAAAAAGTGTATGTTCAAGTCAATAGAGGGAACCATAGTTCACAGTGTAACATCTGTTTCAGCTGTCATCAAACACACATTTAAGTTCATGCGGATGATGGATGTCATACTGGATACTTGTTCTAATTCCATTGGCAGATCATTTTAGCTGTTTTAAGCATTATTTCTTGGAAATTAACTGCATCATTTTTAAAAACAAGTAAGCCAATGGAACACTTTCACTAGATGAAATTAGTTTAAGTAAAAACATACGTTTTAATAAGTTAATTAATTTAATAATATTCTTACAACAATTATATAACGTTATAAGATGTTTTCAGGTGGTAAGATATCATTTTTTTCCAGTGTAATGCATATTAAACCTAGGCATTTTGCCAATATTTGCCTCTTTTGCTGTTATCAAAATGTACCGATCCTGGGTAGTGCGTACATAAGCAGTGTCATCACCAATCGCAAGGCTGATGTGGGTTGTCCTGTCCGCAGTTTTAACAAAACAGAGTCCCCTCTATGGTCTCTCTCTGTTAGAGTCAAAGAAACTTTCTGAGCAAAAGCTAACCACCAAGCAAAAGCTAAGCCATCCCACACATTCATTTAATATGGCATACATCCCTTCATACATCCCTTCTATTCATGTTAGGATAACTTTAAATTGGGATAAGCAGTGACTAAATTATATATGTATGGAACTTTATGTAATATATATGTATTGGCTGTTTTCTTGGCTTCTGTTAATTAGCCCTTATTTTTCCAATGGTTCTTCATAGAACCATAGAATAACCATAAGAATCTTCATAGAAAGTTTTTTTTGGGGGTGTTAAAATATGTTCTCCTCATTCTAAAGGTTAGATGTGGGTGCATTTTACTTCTTGTGTATGATGGTTTATGATGGTCATTTTTGCAGATGACAATAAATCTGAGGGACCTCAATTTTGGCCAGTATTATCAACCAAATGATACATTCACATATAACTAGATATCAGTATGCAAGCTACGTGCCTCATTTATTTCACTTTTTTCAGAGAAAGCTGCAAAGTATAGACTGAGGATGTGAAGTCCAGCTCTCTCTCCCCTCTCTCGCTCTCTCTAATGTATATCCTCTTAACCAGGCTGCACCAGTGTTAACCAGATGAACAATGGTGCTGCCAGAGTGAAAAATGAGATCACCTTTCAGCTTTACCTGCAGAAGTTGGGGAATAAATCTTAGTGTTCGGGATCATTTTGAACCACTTTAAGTCTACAGAGCTGAAGAAACCTGGGGCAGTTTAACTTTTAATGTGCTATAAGCACTCCTCACTTTTCACTCTAATCACTTGGCTTAACTGTCTTAATACCAGCCATGATGTACTCAACGTGACTATCATATTTAGAGTCATATGTGATTCACCGTATAACTGTTTATATTGGCTTATAAATATACCATATTCACCCATTTTATTTTTTCCCTGTAGTTCACTTATAATATTTGCATGCTTTTCATCATTCGTTTTTACCAGGCCATTTTCTGACAACCTCTCTTTATCCCTTAGAATTAAACAGGCTATTTTTATTACTGTGTTGTTAAGAGATATACTTTACCACCGTCATGCCAAAACATAATCATAAAATCTATTTTTTTCAATTTTAGAGCGTTTTGAACATTTGATGAACAGAAATCAGCCACAATTAATTGGAATGAAATCTTGTTAACTTGCATTGAAAGCTAAGTTTTCCTTTCTCCTATAAAGCTACCATTTGAGGTTTTGTTATGAGAACAACGATATGTAAATGACCTCTGTTCTGATTGGCTGTCTGTTTGGTACCTCACTCAGAAAGCAGCACAGGCTAAAAAACGTGCAGCAACGACACTCCTTAGAACTTGTGAACGGCTGGGCTGAGCTGCTGTAGGCTGAACGGGCAGTCATACGCAAATGTTCTCACAGCTGTGACATCACAACCATGCAGCTTACATTCAGTACATGGACTGCATGGAAGGCTTTGAAACTTATCAATCCAAGATATGGGGTCTTAAAAGTGGAGACCCTTTGTAGAAGAATCAGAGTTTTAACAGATAATTGCCATTAAACTGGTTTACACTTGTCCAGCTATCTAAAATATTAGTTATTGCTTTATTGGAAGGTAAGATACACTGAGCAACACTCACGCTTGTATCTGATAGATATCCTCAGATCTGCCCTTGCGCAACCTGAGGATCCAAGCACCCGGGTTGGCCTTTAACTGGAAGTAACCCTGCAGAACAAAATACAGTAGAAGAGAATGCAAACCTCAGCAGTTGTATTCCTCTGAGTGTACAAGTATCCTTTACTTTATCATCTTGATTCATAGGACCTTCAAAGAAAAGCACTATGCATTGAATATTACGGCTTCAGTATGCACTACTACAGTGATCAATAAGTATATTTTAGTGCTCATTACATTTACATTTATGGCATGATGGCAGACGTTCTTATCCAGAGCAACTCACAATTAGATCATTACAAGGTCGTGTTTGGCGTCTTGCCCAAGGACTCTTATTGTTTTAGTGTAGGGTGCTTACCCAGGTGGGGGATTGAACCCCCAGTCTACAGCGTAGAAGGCAGAGGTTTTACCCACTACACTACACCAACCTCACAATATATCAGCGCTGTCCAGAGAAAAGCAAGTATCTCCAAAAGGAGAAAACATTCCTAACTTTTAATGAAAGTTAATGTAAAGATGTTTTATTCCAAGCAAATTTGGAGCATCGTTATTTATCTATTCATCATGAAATGTTCACACAAAGAAAAGGGCAGCTACAGAGCTCAAACGATATAAAAAATTGAAAAAAAATGGAGGTATATGTTTTTTTTTTTTTTGGACAGCGAAGATATGCGTGTCATAATTTATTCTATTGAATTATGCCTTTTTATAACAACCAATGGTCAGTCAATATGCAGTTAATATCTCAAATAAAAACAACTTACATAAATCCAAACCTTTTCCAAGTTAGGTTAACATTCCTCTTTACCCATGGTTCCCTTTAGTATTAGCTAGAAACAGTTGTGAAGTTGGCATAATTAGCAGCCTTAACCAGTTGTTATAGAGATAATGCTAAATAAAAGCTACATGCCATCAGGCCAGCCTCTACTTTGCTGTTAGATAAAACAATAAGATAAAAAAAACATTAATGCTGTAGACGTATAGTAATGTAGGCTCGTAAAAATGTAATGCCTGGCAAACACACAATATCAATTAATGATTAAATGCTCTTAAATGCTGCTTGTCAGAAAAAGAGGTGGTTGAGGTTGTGTCTGATCATCATGCTGACCATCACTGCACTACTATTTAAATCAATCGATGAAACCAAACAGAAAAACAAACCAAGTGTTGGTTTGGTTAATTGGTTTAGCCTCACCAGGTTGGCCATGACGATAGTGTCCTGCATGAGAGGGTCCTGCTTCATACCCAAAGTGAATTGCAGGCCCCGGGGAGGCTGACCCGTAGACAGGTCAAAGCAGTGTCCCTCCAGCAGCAGGTATTCCAACTCGTACTCCGCATTCACCACCCCACTGACCTGAGATCAGACAACACCAGACAAGGCCTTCAAAGCAATACTGGTAGCAAAAAATAACATCACAGTACAGTGGCAAATAAAAAGAATGAAAAAGGCATGAAAAAGAATGAGAACAAAGATTTTTTTAATTCAATGTTTGCAAAAGTAATCTACGTAAGAAGGAACAGAAGAAAATCAAACAATTTGCTAATAATTGCCAAAGATAAGGGAGTACTGGGCTGACATCTAATCAGCTATTAGCTACATGGCAGAATGACTTGAGGAAAATATGTGATTTTTCTGACCAATATTGTGATCACAGGTGTTTATTTCTTATTTTACAGATTATTTTACACATTATTTTCTATAAATGAAGCTCCAGGCTCCCGAGTCACAAGGTCTGCACTATTAAGTCAAATTTCTCTACTTAAAATCTCTGTCAACATGGTTTACAATGTTTATATTTTTGTTGTAACAGAAAAGACACACAGCGGAATAAGTGTTTACAAGTGGCTATATTTATCCGTTATATCCATCACCTATAGCTAGATATCTGCTGAAACTGGGTTAGACAAGCTCCCATTGTTAGCCAGCACTGTCAAATTTGCGGAGACTGCGGAGAAATTTCTAGCATCCCTCACTGTGCGTCATACCTGCAAATACAACAGTGGGGAAACACTGTGAGCCTTGATGTTTGTAGTGCAGCTAATGTAACACTAATGTATTTTATTCCTACAGTTAAGGTGGACTTGCACTCTCATAAATTAAGTTGATCTGTTACAGCAGGATCCTGCAACAAGTGGCCAACGCAGGTAGGAAGCAGCGTCTAGCTACGCTACAAACAGCGTAATAAAGCTCCATAACAAGCACTGTTAACCTACTAGCTGTGTTTTGTCTGGGACTCAGAGCAGCGGGAGAGCAGTTACTTTATTTGAGGAAGAGGAACGCAAGCTATATTGCTAACTCTGGTACTTTGGCGGATCTGACATCAAATTTAGTCCCGCCCAACTCAAATCAAACCGAAGAAAACGGCAGAAAAAAGTCATTTCAAAAGTCTCCCAACAAAAAAGACAATTTTCTCTGCCAGTTCATAGTAAAAACTTCCCAAAAACCTATATGATATCAGAGGTAACAGAATAAAATCATGGAAATGAACAGACAGTGGCTCTAAAACAGAAAGCTGAACAATGTAGGATGTAATTAAAACTGCAGCTCTTGCTATTTGATAAATGCAATCTTTCTTTTTTCATTCCAGTGATGAATTACGTTATGATAAACTTTGAGTATATGGGTATCGTCAGTACACTGTTCTAGAACACTGCCCAACTCCATGGATCATAAAAAGGCAGATTTAGACCGGTTATAGATGACGGATATAAATTAATCGTCCAGCCCTATTTATTACTCTGCCGTTTAGGCAGGTGTTGTTGTTTACAGGTTCTCTATAGCTTGTCATGTTTTTTAATAATACAATTATTCTGTGTCCTAGAAGTACTGATGATACCCCTGATATACTCAGAAGAGCATATTATGATACAATTTCTCACAATGACAATAACATATCGTCCCCTAGTCCTTAGCCACTGGTTGACAACGCTTTGCGTGTGAAAATGCATAGGTACCTCCTGTAGGTGTATGTTGTCTAGGTCATGTCGGCTCCGAACCGCTTCCACCATCCAGCTTTCCGGTGTGATCATGTTCAGTGTGAGCAGAGGGGATTCTGGGATTTCAGTGAAGCGAGCCACTGGGCCAGGGGACATTGTATCGTTCCCCAGGAAGGACACCTCCGCCTCCATCACAAAACGATAGAAGCTGCCGAAAGCATACAAGGGGAAAGAATGCAGATCAAGCACCACATACACAGAGAACGTAGTTTTGTAGCTAGACTCACTGGCCAATTTATCAGAAACACCTCTCACATAGGTCGTTTTGTAGGTTTACAATTAGAAATGCACTGAAATTTCAAGCACTGAAGATTTTCAAGATGTCCAAAGTGTTTAACATTTAACTAACTACGAGAATGGTATTGAAAATGTGATTATTAGCACAGATACGTTCAAACAGTTTGAGAAGCAGCAGATCAACAGTGAAATGCTCAAACACAGTCCTCTACATCTGCGTTCTATACAGTCTTTAACTCACATGCTTTTCAGAATTAACGGATTTAATGAAACTCTTTAATTAAGTGACCCTTATTAGTCCCACAACGGGGAAATTTCACCTCCGCAATCTAACCCATCCGTGCAGTGAAACACCACATACACACTAGTGAACACACACTAGGTGGGCAGTGAGCACACTTGCCCGGAGCGGTGGGCAGCCCTATCCACGGCACCCGGGGAGCAGTTGGGGGTTAGGTGCCTTGCTCAAGGGCACTTCAGTCACGTACTGTCAGCTCAGGGGAATGAAGCGGTGACCTTCCGGTCACAAGGCTGGTTCCCCAACCTCCTGGCCCCAACGGAAACCACATAAATAACACTGAGTGACTCAATATCTTTTGGTATAAACCTTTTTTGTTTGTTTTTGTTAGCGCAAACTTGTGTGCTTGTTAGATCCCCCTGAGGTTTAGAGCTGTTTCTTCTCTAAATGATGAACACTAAAGTGACTTGTGTGCTAACAGCGCCCTCTGCTGGACAAACCACTTAAAAACCATTCAGACTGTTAAGCAAGAGTTCCAAAGCCACATCCATGTGCTGTACATATTTAAAATTGAGGTGGTTTTCATCGTTTTGGTGGGGTGGGGGGGGCACTCTGGAACTGAGCTTTAGAGGCCTTTGGGAAACCATGCAGTACTATATTTTAGCGTTGTCACCTCGCTGGAATTTCCAACATCAACACAATGATATGGCACCAAATGCAATTACTTGAAAAGATGGCCAATAACGGCTTGGGCATAAACAACAAGCTGTGCCAAAGTCAGTTTGGCCTAAACTAAGTTTCCGAAACAGCTGGTGGCCTAATAACAGGGCCACAGGTGTCTGAAAACAGAACAAGTGGAGCACCTGCTCCCTCACCTTCATTCCTTTATTTTATTATTTATTATTTTATTAAAAATAAGAAGTGACTTTCAGTGTAAATACATGCGCAAAACTGAGTTCAACTAAATATATAAAATAAAACATGTCGTAGTTTTTTTCAACCTCCTCTAAAACAAAATTTCTACTTGAGGAGGGCCGTAGTGAAGCTGACTCACTTTAGGGAGGCTGACATGTTAATGAATTAGTTTGTGACGCTAATAACAGGATTGGATGTCAGTGTATTACTTTCAAAAACAATAAAAAGCATGGTGTTATCCAGACATTTCATTATCTTTTTAATTTTGCACCAATTTTGGAGCATATCCTGTTGCAATATTTATCGCAAAAACCTTTTAATTCACTTTACACAGTCACTTGCAAAGGTTTGAACACCCTCAGTCAAATTCCACTGCTAACAGATGTACAAAAGTACTTAGTCAAGCCATTTCCGTAGACACTGGCAGCAGAACGTACCGTACTGAGGAGCTCAGTGACTTTCATAGGCCACCTTTGCCACAAGCCAGTTTGTGAAATTTCTTCTCTGCTGGATCTTCTCGTCCAACATCAGTGACAGACCTCACAAACGTATTTTTTTTTTTTGACTAAATGGGCACAAGTTCCCACAGAAACACCCCAAAATCTTGCGGAAAGCCTTCCCAGAAGAGTGGAGGCTGTTATAGCTGCAAAGAGGGACCAACACCATATTAATGCTCATGGCTTTGGTATGGGATGTCGAACAAGCTTATATAGGTGTGATGGGCAGGTGTCCACATATTTTTGGCCATAAAGTGTAGATGTGAATGAATATGCATCTGTCTCTGCATTCAAATGTGGATGATACAGTCCAAACAAAGAGCCCTGGAATAACAGTGAAGTGCACACTTTAAGTGTGTGATGTAGCCTTTAGATCTAGTAACAGGGAAAATCGGAGAGCAGCCAGACGCAATCTGAAAGCTGGCATCAGAGCTACCAAGAAGGCATACAGCATGCAAACTCAGGCTCATCGGCCACAGACGCCTACCTCCCAACCGAATTCAGCTCATTATGTGTCTGCTTTGAGATCAAACAAGCTCAGCTGACCTGTGAAGCCCTACGGCCCTCTAAAGAGACCATTCTCTCGCTGTCTACAGATGAAGTGAGGAGAGGTCTGTCGGGAGTGCACACGCAAAGCCACCAGACCTGATGGCATCCCAGGATGGGTCCAGAAAGCGTGTGCCAACCAGCTGGCTTCCACTTTCACAGACATCTTCAACCTCCCCCTGGCACAGTCTACTGTTGCCACCTGCTTCAAAAAACCACAATCATCACCCCGTATCAAAGAAACCTAACATCCAATGCCTCAATGACTATCGCCTAACTGCACTCATCATCATAATGAAGTGCTTTGAAAGACTCATGTTAAGAACTGCCTCCCCAGAACTCTGGATCCTCACCAGTTCACCTGCCATGCGAACAGACCCACCGAAGATGTGACATCCCTGGCAATGCACACTTCAGTGGACCAGCAATGAACAGCATTCTTATCACTGCTGTTGGAAAAAAACCTTGTATCTCCATTTTTGTTGTTTTTCAGTTTTTACATATTTTAAAAATGCCTGTGGCCCTTCACATTGTGCCTAAATTTCATTAAGACCATGGACCAAAAGAAACGGCCCAAAAAAGGTTCCATTAACTTACATTAAAAGTAAAGTAGGTTTTTTCCTTTTCCTGTAAAGTTATCATTTTGGAGATTTTCTTCCGACAACAGCGTTATGTAGACGTTCTTGTTTAGCATTTAATAAAAGTATCCCCTCTAGACTGGTCTCCAAGCTCAAGACCCGAGGAATCAGCTGGATTCTGGATTCTGCAGCTGGATTCTGGATTTCCTCACCAGCCGGCGTCAGGCAGTTAGGATGGGAGACCACACTTTTCCCACCTTCACTCTCAGCACAGAATGTCTTATCACCCATGCTCTACACCCTGTACACCCACGACTGCTGCACCAAGCACAACTCCAACATCATCATCGAGTTCACTGACGATACAACGGCAGCGCGCCTTATCACTAACAACGAGGAAGCGTACAGAGGAGGTGAGACTCTGCAGACAACAATCTCTTCCTCGGTGTAAACAAAACCAAAGAGATGAGTTGATTTCAGGAAGGGGAGCAGAGTGCACACACCTCTGAGCACTGAGGGGACCATGCTGGAAAGTGTGAACTGCTTTAAATTCCTTAGAGTTCATATAGCTGAGGATCTCACCTGGCCACTCTACACATCACACCTCACTAGAAAGGCCCAACAACGCCTTCATTTCCTCAGGAGGCTGAGGAGACTCAACCTGCCACATCAACTCCTCTGCAACTTCGACAGATTGACACAGTGGAGAGCATCCTGACCAGTTGCATCACAGTCTGGTATGGCAGCTTCAATGCTGCGGAGTAGAAGGTCCTGCAAAGGGTGGTGAAAACTGCCCTGTCTGTCACTGCAGCTGTCCTACCAATCATACCGGACATAAAAGATGCCTAAGGAAAGCCAGCAACATCTCCTCTGACCCCAACCCCAGTCACTTCCTGTTCCACCCAATGCCATCTGGGAAGAGATATCAGAGCATTTGAGCCAGAACCACCAGGTTAAAGAACAGTTTCTACGCTCGAGCTGTTAGACTGATCACACACACAGCACCCACCAGGCCATGATAACAAACTTGAACTATATGCATGCAGAACTCTCTCCATGTTACTGCTGACTGACTTCTTATATACTTGGACTGAACACTTGAACATTCATAACATTGTTTACTGAACACTTAAATATAAGGGACCAACTTCTGAGAAGGATGCACAAATTTTGCACATACATATATACATATACATATATATTTACACACTATCTATGCACCAGTACACTTCTGAGTGTTGTTTATTCTGTATTTATTGTATTGTCTATTTATTGTTTATATATATAATCAATTTTTCACCCCAAAACTAAATAATCTTAATGTATCTGTTAACATCTCCTATTATCATCTATGCAAAAAGGAGCTTAAT